ATCATTCGACTTCGAAAATGAGCATCTCCTTGCCCTACCGCTCCGCCGACGATGCAGGCAATGGCCTCCCCCGACTTTCACCCGCCCCTTCCCTACTACACCATCGCACGCCCAGCAGTTCTCGCACATCTCTCCGCCAACCGTCGTTAGCCAATGTTCCAGCCACCGCCGCGTTATTCCCTAAACCCCGCCGATGCAAATCACAATACCCCCGGGACTCCTCAGAGCGGCATGTCGAGTACATTCTCGTTGCCTCCTTCCATATCGATCGCGGTCCGATCATGGAGCATCAGTATCCGACCGCGATCAGTGGAGATGAGAGCATGTTAGCGGAACTCATGCTGCCTGATCAAACACATGTCCGAAGCCAGGATTGGACGATATTCTTCCTGCATAAGGACACAAGCGCGGATGCTGATGATGATGCCTCGGTATCTAGCAAAAAGCAGAAAAAGAAGAAGAAGGGGAAGCGCAGGGTTGGAGATGAAGCTCAGTCGAGTGAAGGGGACAGTCGGGAGGATGACGAATCATTGGAGGAGGAAGATAGCAGTGATGAGGAGGAGGAAGGAGGTGAAGGCCCTCCTCTGATGTATGTGCTCAACCTGGTCAACACGAAACAAGACAACACAGTGAAGCGGTATGTGAACGCACTTTTACGTTCCCTTTCGTGGATAAGGTCCGGATATTGAACAACCACAGCGGCGCAGTCGTGAAGGCTATGGCAATCTGTACGCGACATTCTTTCCTTCATATCTACAAAGTGGGTCGCCCCCCAGTCAAGAATAGGTTGCAGTTGCACTGACACCCAACTCACAGCCATTATTGTTGCTAGCCCTGGAGGACTACTTCAAGAATCCATATCCCGAAACCCTCGCCACTTTATACAATGCTGTCAACAGCATGGACTTGTCGTTGATGCCGAGGCTATCACTTCTGGAAAGGCAGATCCTGCAGGCAAGCAATTGCAAAGATATGTTCATCGAGAAATTCGAACAAATGATACACCAACGGTCTTTAGAAGACGGCGCCCCGCCAGATGACGAGGACGATCCGCCGTCGCCGAAACGTCAGGCTCCCCTCCAATATACTCTTCCGCGCGACACCCACGAATTTGAATCTAGGGTTGTTTATAACGAGATCCCTATTCCGGTCAAGGTTCCCACGGTCATTTGGCCGGAGACTGTGGGCGACTTTTCTCTGATAAAGCTTATCCAAATCTTCTCCGCTCCACATAACACTTCACCTCAAGCCTTCCCCGTCCATCCGCACCTGACTACCAGTGGCCCTTTTACGCATCCTATCATTGTCCTCGTCAATGCAATGCTTACTCAAAAGAGAGTTATATTCTTGGGTCATAATCGACCGTCCGGTGAAGTCGCAGAAGCCGTGCTTGCCGCGTGTGCGATTGCGTCGGGCGGTGTATTGCGCGGTTTTACGCGACACGCCTTTCCTTACACGGATTTGACAAAAGTCGATGACCTGTTGAAGGTACCTGGGTTTATCGCCGGCGTCACAAATCCGACCTTCGCCAACCATCCTGAGTGGTGGGATCTACTTTGCGATCTCCCGACTGGTCGAATGAAGATCAGTAGCTATATCGAGCCTGCACCAGTGACGGAAGGACTACAATACTTCCAGCAGCAGGCTTCGTTACATCATTACCCGTCTAGCTCGAATACCGATCCCAGCGGGGATAATGTCTTCATGGAAGAGATCCAGCGAAGCATCACAAACCGTTACGGTGAGAACGCGATCCGGGCCAAATGGAGGGCGTACATCATGAAATTCACCCAAGTGGCCGCCGCTTTCGAGGAAATGGTCTACGGCGCATCGAATCTCTTCATCATTGGACCCAACGAAGAGCTTTCGCCAGAGAGCCCGAGCGGCGTTCAGGCTGACCCGCTGGATCCGACCACCCTCCGCGGCCATGGCTATGTCTGGCCCGATGAGGGCGCCAAGCAAAGGGAGCTGCTCGCCTCAGTCTCGCGCATCGAAGGATGGCGGACCACACGATCCTACTATTCGTTCATCCAGGACATCGCCGCCATGTACTATCCGGCCCGACCTATTCTGAAACCCGACCTACACCATCACCACAGCCGACTCCGCGCCTTGCGACTCTCTGCTGCCGACTCCGGCGCCATCTACGTCGCATTCGCGCACGCGGTCAAGGACTACGCGGGCATCTGCCAGCTCTTGACCATCACCCCGGAGAACCAAGCCGGACTCTTCTACCTCAGCATGGGGCTCTTCCACCCCTACCCACCGGTTCGCGAGGCGACAGTTGACCTGCTCGAGCGGATTGCTGCCCACCCTGCGGGGCGACATTTCTGGGCGCAGCTCAACCGGTTTGCGAAATTGGCGTTCTTCCGCATAAAACGCGACCGCGACGCCTCAGCACAGAGCCCCGCGGGGTTAGGCACCGGGTCCTTTGGCCCGCGGAGCTTAGTAGGTGTTGCGATGGGAGACACTGCATGAGTTTTGTGGACCTTTCGCAGCCTCACATGTAAACTCACAGGTTATGCCGGTGGGCCTTGCCCGTACTTATGTCACGACTATCCTATTTCCATCTTGTATATGTAGCTATGTTCAATTAGCTTATTCCTCTCTCCCTCCCAGTCTTATTACCTGGGTTGGACTATCCAATCAAAGATCCCAAATTCTTAAAATTATGCAGTAGGACCATGAAACCCTTTCAAATCAGATTTTCCTCATATGAATCATGTTACTCATTACTCGACCCGAGACCCAAGACCTCAGCCCAGCCTACCACATCCCCTCCCCCCTCTTCACAATTTAACCCCACTTTAATTCTTAAGCATAGCAGGCTTCGACTCCAACACCTCCTCCAACCACTTATACGACACCGGCAGACTATGCGGATACCCCATGTGCGGGAGCCCGGGGAAGAACCTATTTGCCCCCGGAATAACCATATCAGCCCCACTCACTCAAGAAACAAGCGTCTCGCGCTCGTGCGATAACCTTCAGGTGGTAGGGTGGGGTAGGGGTAAGGGTAGGGTTGGGGGGGGGGGTACGCACCGTCCTTCCTTGGGAGAGCCGTGATTAAAGAGGACAAGACAGTCTTCGATGGGGGTGACACCGTCGTCGACGCCCTATGTACACCTCCCCGCGGGTCGCGGGGATTAGAGTTAGTGGGGGGGATTTTGCCTGGGGCGCATCTTCCGAGGGTGGGATTTGGAACATGGGAATCGGGGGAAACTGCAGGGCACGCACATTCAACAAAAGAAGTCTGGTGCTGGGCTGGTCGACGATGCCGGTCTCGACGAGCGAGAATTTCTTCTGGGCGTTGGCGCGGAAGTCGGCGACGTCGGTGTAGCCGTACTTCTTGGCCCAGGCGGGGGTTAATCTATTCCATTCCAATTTTGTTAGTCTTGCAATCACTCGGAGCGAGGGAGGGGGGGGAATCCAACTCACAGGAAAGGATACTCATGATCATCGACGCGGGTCAACCACTCCTGATCCATGAAGTAATGGCAGCCGGGACCGTGGGCGATGCAGCCGCGCAGGCGGTCGCGGTGGGTGTGCGCGGCGCGGATGGCGTAGAAGCCGCCGGCACTGAGGCCCCAGGCGGCGACGCGCGCGGCGTCCAGCTCCGGCCGGCCGGCGATGTAGTCCAGCACGGTGGTCCAGAGACGGTCCGGGGCGGCGGGGTCGCTGGGGTCGGCGGGCGAGTCGGCGGTGCCGGGGATCTCGGCGATGACGACGGCCCACCCGCGGTTGAGGATCTCGTGGGTGCGCTGGCTGTTGTCGGGCCGGTAGCCGTCCAGCCCGGTCATCAGCAGGATGACGGGGACGGGGCTGGCGGCCGAGGCGTGCTCGGGCGTGCGCACGAAGAGCGGGACGGTGGGCGCGTCGCCGCCGGCTCTCCGGGTGTGCGGGATGATCACCTCCTCGATCTTGGGGCTCCAGAAGGAGGCCGCCTGCAGGTACACGCGCTTCTGGCGGGCGAAGGCTTCCTTCTTGATGTCGTCCTTGCTGGGGTCGACGTAGGGGAAGCGCGAGATCCGGTAGACCACCGCGGCGCGGCGGAGGAGGTCCGAGGCCAACTGGGTGTTGCTGCTGTTCAGCGCCTCGCTGGCTTGCTTCTCGAGGGATTCGGCGATGGGGAAGAAGGCCTGCGTGTAGGCGTCTTCGTAGGCGTCGTTGATATTTTCCTGGGTGGGCTCGGCTGAGCAGGCAGATTTGGTACACAGGGAGGAAGCCTCCTACCTTGATCAACTTCTCGAAGATGGGTGCGAAGTCCTCGATCGATCCGTCATGGAACGGGTAAACTGACTTCTCACACTGTCGAACGCTTCTTCTTAGCTCTTGATCCTCACCACACAGCATGCATCTTGGTCATACCGCAAACTTCCACTTGGTCTCCCAAAGGGCCTTGATGGACCCCTTATGCGGGTAGACCGTGTTGAACTTCTCGCCCATCAGCCATGGAGCCATTTTTGCGTTCTGTTTTGTGATGTGCTTGTGAATCGAAACAGAAGAAAAAAAAAAGTGGTTGAGATCGAGATATCTCTCGGATAGAGTCTAGCAGTCGAGGGGGCTTTTAAGGCAGACAGTAAACCTGAAAGAGCCGTATGCATGGCCACGACAGCAAAGTTAACGCACAGGAGATATGCAACTCTTGATGCCTGAAGTTAGGAATGCGCAGGCGAAAAAAAGAAAAAGGTGGTCGCGAATCGAAAGCAGGGGATACATTAGTGTTGGGAGTTCGGATTGGAGAGCATTGGACTCTTGTAGCCCGAGGGTTCTTAATGTATGGATGCTGAGGAATTTGAGGTGAGATTGTTTTGCTATGCGGCATTTTCTAGCGCCAGGGGATGTCATTCAAGAGCGATCTCATTTTGGGATGTCATCATTGGACGGAGAACTCATATCTATAGAGCCTTTGTTGTGAGGTGGATGGATGAGATGGTGGGAGGAGAGAGACAGCAGCGAGCCCCTCCAAGTCCTTACCGCTCACAGCAGTCCGTAAATGCCCATGCCGCTTGCTGAAGCTTTGGAGCAGCGAAAAGACAGCAGGCATCCTACATCGCCTACCCCGCTATCAGGACAATGAACTCATTCTGTGGAAGATCACACCACAAGGTGCATTCGCTTTGTTCTGGAGCAGTGGCTGGTGCCATGTTGCATCTCCCGTGCATAATTGAGGCAGCTAGTAGCCAGCACGACGGAGTATATCTTGATTCATGGCTACGGAGGGGCTGCGTGCATCTTCCGCCGTATCAGAGCCTTTCATGAACCCCACCTTGGCCGTTAGATGGGGTTTGGGTTCTTTGTACAACGCATTCCAATATTTTGGCGTCAAGAATGAGAATGGTTGGAGAGTTATCGATGCCGAGGCAAGGGGGAGAGGGCAGAGCGGCGGGGTAGTTGGAGGTTTTGATTGTTGTTGGCTTTCGGCGCCTGAGGCAGACAAGATGGCCAAGGTTCGGTGCTTCCGACTTCGGACGGGATCCAGCACTTGTTGTGGGGATGAAGAACTTCCGAGATCGTGGGAGCTGGGTATTCCGAGGCAAATACACTCATACTCTCCATCAGATCTTCTCCGATTTGCAGGGAGTTGGCAATTGCAAGGATGAATCTCGATCGAGACCAGGAAATCCCGATTCATCGTGGGGTGTGGTGATGTTTGGAACCGGATGTTCCGACGTGACGTGGGCCTTGCACGCACACGTGCTGCCAAGGAGATTAGGACGAAACCCGACATTGAAAAGAATTTGTATATACGGCATTGAGAACTATAGAGACACTATTCACATAACTTCATCATATTTACAAGGCTCGAGTTTTTCACAGAGCAGATTTCTCCCACACGATCTCCTTCCCATTCAACCCCTCAATTGCGGGGATCTGCGCACGCAAAGCATTGCCGTAGTCACCGGCGTTCGGCGTCCGCATCAGGGTGTGGATGTGGAACTTCTTGGGCTCCTCATTGTTGAGGAACACGCCGGAGTGGTGGTCGAACTCGACCAGGATGACCGGGCTCTGCAAGCGGTAGTAGAAAGGGTCCTCGTTGCCATAGGATCCAATCCAGCAGAAGTAGGTCTCGGACTCGAACTGGCGGATGTGGTCCAGCTTCAGCTGGCGGGCGCGGGCAGGCAGGTAGAGCAGGTACTGCTCGAAGATCCCGTACATGAACTTCTTCTGCTCTTCGTTGAATGTGCTGGCGGGGATACCCTCGTTGGGCACGACGCGGTTGTCCCGGTACGCACCGCAGACATGGCGCTGGTCGTCGCGGTTCCAGCGGCCGGGCGGCATCGCCGGGTCGTGCATCTCGGCGTAGACACGAGCCTTCTGCTGGAGCTCGGGGGACAGGGACTGCATGAGACGCAGACCCAGTTCCTCCTCCACCTGCATGATGCGAGTGCCGGCGTACGGGCCGGAGTCGATCTCGTTGGGCTCGGCGCCCGTGAACCACGGGGAGGCGACGATCTGACCCTTGTAGAGGAAGATGTTCAGGCAGAGGTGGTGGCCGTAGAAGGACCAGCCCCACGGTCGGTCGGTCGAGGGACGACCGAAGAGGACAAAGTTGTAGGAGAATTCGTTCATGACCTTGACACCGTCGACCAGCTCGCCCAGGAAATGGTTGATGCGCATCGCCGCGATGGCCTTCTCGTAGCCTTCGGGAGATAGTGTGACCTTGAGGACGTTCAAGACGGCGTCGCGGAGCTTGCTGTCGATCTCATCAAGCCGGATTCCCTTGTTGCTGAGGAGGAATTCGGGGTTGGACCAGGTCCGCCATTCGGGGGAGTCGATGTGGTAGCACAGAGCTTTGCGCTGGTTTTCGTCGGCCAGGGACAGCACATTTTGAGTGGCTTCGACGATTGTATCAATCGGGATGCCTTCGTCTTGGAGCTTGAACAGGTCGGGGCGAACGGTGCCTAAGGCAGTGATTAGCAAGCGAAATGGACCATTGCTTCCATCGGAAGTTCCATCGGAAGTGAATACCGTCGGTGGTTACACCCTTGAAGGGCTCTTGCAGCAGGTCCAGCCAGTGCATGTAGAGCGCGTGCAGCCATGGAGGCTGACGTTGCGTCTTGAACTCGTGTGCATATTCATGGGCATCCTGTGTGCGCATCACCTGGAAGCGCTTTAGACTAAGATCGGGCAAGTATTGACGGTATTCGCCCGTAGGCTTCTGCAATTCGGCCTCGGAGTGAGTCATTATGGCAGTGTTATGGCGGATGTGATGCGATGATGATGGGGGAAGGAAAGAGAGACAGGAGGGGGAGAGGAGGGTCGAGAGGAGAAGAAGGGGAAGTAATGGTATTTAGCTTGGGATGCGAGGCAGAGGTGAATGAATTTATTTATCTTTATCGGCTGGGGAAAGTTGTACGTACCAGGTATGGGGTACGGATTCAGCTTTCCGCCACTTCGTTTCCTTTCCCCATACTAGCCCTCCCCACTTTTTCCCACAGAACCTCCCCACCATCCACCGTGGGCTCGGCCTAAATCTTAGCCGCCCACACCCAACACCCAGACATTCAGAAATGGCTTATTGGCAATACGCAGTTCTCTAGTATCTGACACGACGGAACCAACAGTTGGGAGTTGCCTAATGGTTGTTCGCCTTCCAAGCCACCGCCTGGCAAATCTTTAATCCCCCCGTGGGGTCGGACATTCTTCGACCCCGTCATTCGGCATTAAATCGGCCTAGCGTTGCTTCGCAGCTTTAGCAGATCATACATCATTTGCTCGATTTCACATGGAACTACGAGTATTCAAAGAATGGATCGAACCGTTGGTGTAATACGGCACTCTGGCAACGACGCCAACAATCTCGTCAGTCATGGCCCGAGGTCACATCGCCCACATAACACAATTCATAAGATACATTAATCTACAACAACCGCAGGAGTTCCAGGTCCTTGGCTACAGCCGGACTATGAGGTGCGCAGCTCTCCAGGAACCGCAGCATTTCTTGGTTCCATTGCTCCCAGCCCGGGGGTAAGGTATCTCGCACGCGGGCTTCTGGTGAGTGGGATATACAGTAAAAGAGGAGTATTTGGCCGAAAAATCTAGGAGATGGTCAGTCACCGCGGCATGGAAAGGGGCAGCAGATCTGATGCTTGCGAGACTCACTGAGAGCAAAAAGCGAATCGGATCGGAATGCAGCTCTTCATCCGGCGGAAGATGCCGCCAACAACAGGCCAGTTCATGGCGTTCAGCAGTCCGCTGCGGATTTGTTCGAGATCATGATCCGTTAATAAACTGGGTATATGGAGGGCTTTGTAGAGGTAGGGCCGGCCGATATGGAATTTGGCAATCATGTAGCGACCACGAAGCATAGCTTCGGAGACGGCAATCGCGGGAGAAAGGGCATGACGGGTCGGGTCGAACGGTAAGTGAGATTCGGTGGGTGGAGAATCGGCTGTATCGTGGTCTGTGGAAGGGTTGGGTGGATTATCGGAGAACTGCAGGGCAGCAGGTAGATTGACCCGCCACTGATCTAGCTGGTGGTGCAACTCTGTATTGATGGCTGGACGGGGGAATGTCCCTGAGTCGGCTGTAAGAGAGCTAAGTCAGTCGTGACTCGACGACCGCAAAGAAGAAGCGATCGACTCACAGTAGAAATACAATGAGTTTCGGATACGGGTTAGTATTATACGGTGGGCGACCTGCGCAAGGAAATGGTATTGGAAAAACGAATCGTCTATCTCGTCCAAGGACAAGGTTCGAGATGTGCCGAAGCCAACGCTTTCGAAGCTGATAAACTTGGGAATTGGGACAAGCTCTTCAAGGCGTGCAAGACCGCTCGGTGGGACATGTAATTCTTGAATCAGGATTGTCTCATTCATGAGACAATTCCAGTATACTCTCGACTTCATGTCGCCCTCCCACTCGTCGAAGTGAACATCACGGCTAAGGACGTTAGTCACCTAATCACCATGAGTAGGATAACAGGATAATCACATACTTAGTGAGCATGGAAAGACAGCAGGTAGCAGCACGATGGATCATAGCCCAAGAGTCTAAGGGCCGCAGGATCTGACTGTAGTAGACACTGCAAACGCGCGTCAGAATCCGAGGATCAATCTTATAGACTTGAGGAGTGATCGTACAATGAAAGTAGATAGAATTGGCAGCTTTGCAGATCATTGCCACACATCAAGAAGCCCATACGTTGGCGAGCCTCGTTGAAGAAGCGTAAGCCAGGAGGTTCTTCATAGACGACTCCCATCCACTCGGGCGGCTCAAACCGACTGGTCCTGCTCCCTGGTAAAGGATAATTTCCCTCTTGATAAGCGTGGATTGCAATACAGCCTAGGGCCATGATGTTCAGGGCGAGACAGCTTTCGATCGTATATCCGAAATTGCTTTCGATCGCCGTCCCCAGTGTCGAGGCGAAGTAAAAGTTCTTATCAATGATAGGCGTGTAGAGGTTGAACGTGGTGAAAAATGCGTCTGAAAGCCCCTTGATCATGGCCAATGGGAGTGTCTCCAGCCAGTTGTTTCCAGCGTGCGGAGGAAAGGGGCAAATGTACATCGGCAGCATAGGCCTTTTCATTTCGATGTCAATCACGTAGTTCTTTCCGAGCTTCTCATAGGCCTCGAGAAGTCGATTTGGAAGGATGTTTTGAGCTCCAAGCCAAGAGATCACCCCATGCTGACTGAACGAGATTGAAACGAGGCCAGTCGAATCCACTGGGCCTGAGGGGAGATAGCTTTGGCTATCATGTTCTAGATCGTTATTGAGTTCCACTGTTCTCGGTGTGAGGCCTTGCAATTGAGACCTCTCTGAGCCCACCGGCTCTTTGGAGTTGAGATTACGCCGTGTTAGAGGTGAGACACCTGGCGACGTATCCAATGCATGAATCATTTCATTTCGAAGAGAATTAATGTCACCGGATATGGCAGTGGGGACACTTTCAAGTTTTGTCTCGAGTCGATGGAGAGTGCTCATAATCAGACTCAAAGAATGATCCCGCCTAGGATGAGTTAGTCTGACAAGTCTATCATTAGTATGTGCTCGGTTGCCCCTTACTTGGAAGTCTTGCGCTCATTATAGACACATTCCAAGCCCAGCGATTTGCATAGTCCACATTTTGGCCGTGATTCATCACATCTGGTCTTTTTCAATCTGCAATTCTCACAAGCCTAAGGCTAGATGTTATTCCAATTGATTTTACACCAGAGTTCCTGAAGGTTGTGGTAGAGCGATGCGGAAAGAGTAACCTACCACTGTGGCTATGAAATTCCGGGGTTTCTTCGCCGAGCCCGAGGCCCTGCTGTGCTCCGGGCTGTCATGAGAGAGGTGATCGGGAAGCTCTGGAGTCTGAGAGTCACTGTGGGATAATGACCCTGAGTAGGGACGTTTGTTCATGGTACTGAATCAATAACAGTTTGGGAATCACGACATCGTTGCTTGAGTGCACTAAATGGTTCTGCGATCCGGATAAGTCGATAGATAGGCGGCTTCATGTGACTCGAAAATGCCCGGTCTGAAACACGTGACAAAATGAAAGGGACGGATATGTTTGCGCTGTTTGCTGCTTGCAGCTGCGATAAGCGGGCCTACCGGCACGTGCACTCGAAGGATCGTGCACTCGCACCGGAGTTTGCGGAGCTAAGCATGGACTGTGCATTTACCCCACGGCACTTCGACCTTGGCATCCTGAGTTACTCCGCACTTTTCAAGCTGTTTACGAAAGTCCTGCCACTGGATATGATGCATTGGTCGTTCCGTGGAACTTGTGGGCAATCTTTATGTATTAAAAGCGATACCTGTCTCATCGGCGAGCGGAGCCAATTCTCACATTTTGTCTGTGGCTCAATAGAGCCAGGAGCACTACAAGCCTTCCCGACAGGTTCTTGAATAATCATGTTGCAGAGATGAGATGGCCAACAAGTCGAAGCATTTGAGCATCACTTGCTCAGAACTGATGTTTCTTCCAGCGAGCATGACAGCTCCTATTGGGTCCCAGTTCTCTTGCAGGACAGGGATCAAGGGCTACAGACAGTGTCGTCGGCAGCGCAATGTGGAGAGCATGTTCGGGATGTGGACATAAACGGCAGAACTCAGGAATAGCTTCTGATTCCATTGATATATCATGTTCAGATGCTCGGAAACTCGATATGATACTAAATAACATTGCAGTTGATGTCAAGATGGCCCCCTCCAATTACAGCGATCATTTTTCGATCAAGAACCTTCCATATGGCGTCGCCTCGTCTCCCGCGCGAGCTGACCCGCAATGCGTGACTCGGCTCAACAACACCGTAATCTTCCTAGATGACCTCCAGAGAAACGCAGTGTTCAACTCGGTCTCCGAGCTCCCTTCTGGAATCTTCAAATCGTCCACCTTGAATGACTTTGCTGCCCTCCCCAAGCCAATCCACACGCAAGTGCGTCACGCCCTGCAACTGGTACTACAGAATGGAGTGGAAGAACTCCCCACAGGAAGCACTGCAGACATCAGCAAGGTCCAATTGCATCTCCCTGTCACAATCCCAGCTTATACCGGTGATTAGCCTCACTCTAAAGTACCCTTCATAAACAAAAGCTAACGACAACCTCCGCAGACTTCTGCAGCAGCAAGGCCCACAACATCAATGCCGGACGAGCGATCCTCGGCCACGAGAGCCTGCCGCCGTGTTTCTACCATATCCCCATTGCCTACAACGGCCGTGCCAGCACGATATCCGTTTCTGGGACCCCAGTTTACCGGCCCCGGGGCCACTTCGTCGACAGGAACGTAACGACCCACAAAGAAGTCATCTACGCGCCAACACGCGCCTTGGATTATGAACTCGAACTGGGCATTGTGATCGGTGCTCCGCTGCCGTTGGGCCAGAGGCTTACCGCCAAGGATGCTGAGGCACACATCTTCGGGCTTGTGCTCTTGAATGACTGGAGTGGTACGTTCACTATGCAATCTATGAAGCCATTGAAGATTGTTTCCCTTTCCATGGAATTTTACTTTTCCATCTGGTTTGAATTCCAGGCAGAGAGTACTTGGCTGAACAAGCGCCACAGCACGCGACATCCAGGGCTTCGAAATGATCCCCCTCGGCCCACTGAACGGGAAGAACTTTACCTCGACCATCTCCCCATGGATCGTCACACTGGAGGCGCTGGAAGCGTTCCGCACCGACGGCCCAGAGCCGCAGAGCGCATCCATCCCGCCGTATCTGCAGGACTCAGGCGCCTATAATTATGACATCCAGCTGAAGGTCGAGTTGGAGACTGCTTCTGGGGCAAGGACGGTGCTGGGAGAGACCAATGCGAAGGAGCTGTACTGGAGTCTCGGGCAGATGTGCGCGCATCTGACGAGCACGGGGTGTAATCTGCATACCGGGGAGATTCTGGGCACTGGGACGGTCAGTGGGGCCGCTGAGGGGTCCTATGGCTGTCTGCTGGAGGTGACCAAGGGAGGCAAGGCGAAGGCCAAGTTGACCGACGATAGTGAGCGGACATACCTGGTCGATGGGGATGTGGTGACGATGACGGCCGTGGCGGGCGAAGGAGTTGGATTTGGCGAGTGCACGGGGCAGATTCTCCCTGCCAAGGAAGTTCAGGCTTAGATTAGTGCTATTGTACAGAAAACCAACTAGATGATCCTCGTTCCAGACATTAGATCCACCACGAAGAGATGCATGCGACGCAAGCACATCATACCCTTATAACACAAGTATCTGGGGAGAACGTCCGAACCCCCTTTCTTTCAACTCCCCAATAATCTCAATCCTCAGTCCTAGCAGTAATGTAACTATCTGGGGGAGAACCCCCAGACCCCCCTTTCTTTCAACTCCCCAATAACCTCAACTCGAATCCAATAGTATAGTATAACTATCTGGGGGAGAACCCCCAGACCCCCCTTTCTTTTCAGCTCCCCAGTACCCTCAACCCCAATTCCAACGACATAGCACAACCACCATCTACCTTAGGTATCCACCTTAATCCTCCCACAAAGCACCACATCCTCCCCAAAAGGATACCACTTGACCCCCGTCAACCGCGACGCCGGCACAGCCACCCCACCGTCCCCCACCCTCCTTGGCGGACTCACCACCACCCCGCCCCTCCCCAACCACGTCGGCGCAATCGTCACAATCACCGAGCTGACCAGACCCTGGTACCTCGGCTCCAGCAACGAATTAATCACCGCCGCCCCGCCCTCGATCATAACACTGCGCACCCCTTCCTCCCGCCGCAGATACTCCAGCACCTGCCTCCAATCGAACTCCCTCCTACCCTTTCCTACCCCCTCCCCCTCCTCCTCATCCCCCCCAAAATCCTTTGTTGTAATCCCCAAAGGAAGCGAAATAAACCTCCCCCCAACTCCCTCCAACACCCTCCGCTGCTCCGCCTCCACCTCCGTCCCCTCCGCGATCAGCACCCACGGCGCCCGCCCCCGCCCTCGCCGCACCATCTCCACGATCTTAGCCTGCGGGGTGATCCGCCAGCGCGCCGAGGGGTCCACGATGATGGGCCGCGGCTGGCCGTCCAGCCCGTCGGCGCCGTACCCGCCCCCGCCGGCGAGCCGGCAGTTCAGGCCCGGGTCGTCGGCGACCGCTGTGCCGACGCCCACCAGGATGGCGTCGTGGCGCGAGCGCAGGTAGTGCGTCATCGCCTTGGATTGCGGGCCCGAGAGCACGGTGCGCGTGCCCGGCGACAGGGCGAGGGAGGAGTCGAGCGAGGTCGCGAAGGTGAGGGTTGTGAATGGGAGGGTCGCGGGGGCATGGTCGGTGGTGGGTGAGGTTTGCCTGGGAGGGGGGAGGTGTGGTTCGAGGAATGCGCGGTCGGAGGCGGGGAAGGTTAGGGCGTCGCGTGGGGGGTCGGTCATGGTGTAGTGAAATGTCTGTTTGGGTGGCGATGTTGGGGTTGGAAGATTGGGATGTTGAGAGATGTGGGGTTGGTGTGTTTGTTGGTGAATATCTTTGAGGTGTGAGGGAGTGTTTATGCTGGATGGGTTTGCGGGGAAAGGGAGCGATAAAAAATGTGGAGCCTCAGGCCATGAAAGAGGCACCAACTGTTGGTGCTGTCGTTACCCCACTATGGGCGGGAGATGATCAGTGATTTTACCCCTCACCGGTAGCTGTTCGAGGGGGCGCTTTCTTGGCGAACACCTCGAAGTTTGTCAGAGCTTGCATCTGCTCAGAGAAACTAGTCTAGCTATTGATATGTAGGCAGACTATCTCGGGGGCTCGAAGTCTAAAAGTCGGAATTTTGATTATTGCATCTAAAATCATGAGAGGAGTATCTAGGCTAATAATGCTATCTAAGAAATGAAAACAAATGCGATCGTGATCCGTGAAGATGCAAAGAATCTAGTTGACAACCATAATATGCACAAGCACTTGCTTAGGCGGGAATACCACCGGTTCCGAACAGCTCCATCTTGATGCGATCATCAGCAACGCCCGCGGCGGTCAGCTTCTGCTTCACGTCCAGCATGAACGCAGTCGGACCGCAGATGTAGTACTTGGTGGTCGCATCCTCCAGGTAGAGGTCCTTCTGCTTGTCCAGCTGGTTCACGTCCAGGCGTCCCGCGACATCATAGTCCTCGCCCTGCTTCTCCTCGGCGCCGGGGTGGCTGGTGAAGAAGATAGCGTGCAGGTTGGGCACCTTGGCAGCCAACTCCTTGATCTGCGGGCGGAAGGCGCGGGCCGCAGAGGTGCGAGCGCCGTGCGCGTAGGTGATCTTGCGCTGGGTCTGGGCCTCGGGGCCATCGAGGATGGTGTTGAGGATGGAGGTGAGCGGGGTCAGACCGACACCGGCGGCGAGGAGGACAATCGGGCTGCTGCTCTGCTTCTCCTCGTCGGAGAGGAAGAAATCACCGAAGGGGTGAGAGACGCGGACGATGTCGCCCTCCTTCTTGAGATCGTGCAGGATGTTGGAGACATAGCCGGGGTGGCGCTTGGCCGAGGGCTCGGTGGGCTCGAGGCCGGCCTCCCTCTTGACGCTGATGCGGTAGTATTCCGGCACAGGCTTGTCGCTGAGTGAGTACTGGCGGCTCTGGGGGTAGTTGAGCTCCGAAACGAAAACCTCCACGGAGATGTATTGTCCGGGGCGGAAGGACGGCAGAGGCTTGCCATCCACGGGCTCCAGGTAGAACGAAGTGATCTCAGACGACTCGGGCACCTTCTTGGCAATGCGGAAATCGCGGAAATCAGTCCAGCCGTCCGCCTCCTTGTAGAGGTCGGCTTCGCGGTTGATCATGATGTCGGCCAACTGCCAGTAGGCGGCACCCCAGGCGTCGTGGATCTCGGGCGTCAGGGCGTCTCCGAGGACTTCGCCCATGGCCTCGAGGAGGTACTTGCCGACAATTTTGTAGTGCTCGGGCCGGATATAGAGGGAGGCGTGCTTGTGGCAGATCAATTCGACCGCGGGGCTCAAAGCACCCAGGTTGTCGATGTTGGAGGCATAGGCGAAGAGGGCGCCAGCGAGAGCGACAGGCTGGTGGCCATTGACTTGATTGGCGGTGTTGAAAACGGTGTTGAGCTCGGGGTGCGCAGCGAGCATATTCTTGTAGAACACGGTCGTGATGGTCTTGCCATGAATCTGCAAGACAGGCACAGTGGCCTTGATGATGGCAATTTGCTCTTGCGTGAGACCCATGATGTAAATGATATCAATATGTCAAGGATGTTCTGATTGATGCAATGTCAATGTTGGACTGTATGTCTGGGAGAATGCAAGGGAGAGAACAATCTCATCCGAGAGCCCATGGGTGTATTTATATGCTAATTGGCAACCATTTGGCCCAGGAGGTCAACACAAGTGGATATGCATGATGTGGCGGACGAACTTTTTTCATGCGGTTTTTTGGATCGGGCGGAAGAAAACTGACATCTCCGCGGAGAAGCTGGGGAAGAACTGAGTTGGTACAATTGGTACCTCGCCAACCAGCCCAGATCGAATCAGGTTCCTGACAATGTTAAGCCGAACGGTCCATTCTCGGTCCTGGTGTCTATGGAATGGATTGAATCGCTGGATTGGCCCTTGAATGCGTGGCTTGCAGTCTATAGTTGGGGTACATCATAAAAACTAAGACATTTGCTGCAATGGCCGTTCGTAATGACTCTACGTCCTGAGACCATATTCCACGCTGGGATGTATACAGAGATAAAACACGAACTCATCGGCGAGGATATGGGACGACCAGCCAACAGTCACGAGGCAATAAATTATTATACGAAAAGGATCAGCCCATGTCCGACCGGGAGTTTTAGGGGATTCTGGCGGAGGCCGAGTCTCGGCCGTTGTATGATTAGAGTATGGTTTGCCGCAGTCCAGGAACCATGGGTTCAAATTGGCATGGCGCGGGTGTTTTGAGTCAGTGGGACAGACTTGAGAAAACTTCACTCGGGAGGCCATAACTAAGGTAATACTATGTGCTAACGGTAGGTTCTAGAGCCAGCAAGAAAATCTAGAGACGGAAGAACGGCTCCTGCGGGAATTGCGGAACACGCGGCCATCCTATTAGAGACTTCCCGACCATGCTGACTAAATGTGCACGCATTAGTCAGAAATAGCATCAAATTGCATAATACTTCAAGGCACATGAGAACTGAATTAATGATTGTCTCACGTGATACGATGCCTTGCCTGCCTGAAGTGACGGTGACATTAGCCTATCGAAGCTAACCGGATGCGGAATTCCCCGCTGGCTGCAGTGGCCGGCTGGCACTGTAACATCATCCATCATACAGTGACCTCATGTTCAATGTCGGCATGCAGCCATCTTAGTCAGGATACTCGATGATGCTGCTGATACTGACGCTGAAACGCCGATGATGCTGAAGGAATGCTTCACTGCATCTCGCAGGGCTGTTGAGAAGCCAGTCATCAAGACATCAGCTGCCCTGGCGCTGGATTGCTCTCTCCACTTGAACCTTTCGGTGCATAGCCAGAGTCATATTCGTGGCAACACTCCTCACTATGACTCGGTATCAGTAAAAGAAAGATAACTCTAATTTGCCGATGTCACCTTTCGTTCTACTACGTGACGTTTCGGGTGTTCCTTTCCGGTTCCATGCCCCTCCCATGCTTTCTCCAAAGGCATTGTCTGCTGGATGTCACCGTCCTGCTCGAGTTTCCTTTTCCTGGGTTGCCTCGCTCGCCTGTGGCTCTGCAACTATTTACCATGCACGTCGTCCTGCTCGTCGCTGTCGTCTTTTCTTTCACACCCTGCCGCAAGACCTCAGCCTGCTCTCTTCCGGCTGCCTGACCAGTATTGACTCATACTTTAAACACGTCCCATCTCATTAACATGCCGGGTAAGACCGCACCGCCGCGCCGGATCACCAAATTCACAAATTGCCGGATTGTGAAAGGTAGCGAGCTAGTCAAGGAAGACCTCTGGATTGACTCCTTGTCCGGGAAAATTCTCAAAGATCAGGAAGCATTCTACGACTTTCATCTCTCCCCGGATGAGGTCATTGATCTCGGCGGGCGCATCGTCGCCCCGGGACTTATCGATGTGCAGCTGAACGGTGCCCAGGGCTTTGACTTCTCTGTACCCCAAGCTACCACCGAGGAATATGACAGGGGTCTGCGCATGGTCAACAAGGGCCTTGCCCGGATGGGTGTTACCTCATATCTCCCTACCGTTGTGAGCTCCACGCCAGAGGTTTACTGGAAAGTATGTCTACGCAAAGCACTCCCTGGCTTGAAGATATTGGGACTGACCAGTCCACTTCTTGCTATAGGTTCTACCCTCGTTAGGCCCCACAGGAAGCGAAGCTCAGCCTCAAGATGGCGCCGAGTCACTGGGCGCTCACGTGGAAGGGCCGTTCATCAGCCCCGGCCGCAACGGCATACACAAATCCGAAGTGCTTCGCGCAGCCCACAGCCTAGAAGACATAGTGGAATGCTACGGCTTGAATAATTTGACCGGGTCATCTCAGACGGTCCGAATGATCACTGCGGCGCCTGAAGTCGGCAACATGCTGAACCAAATCCCATCTCTTACCTCGAAAAACATCATCTATTCGATCGGCCACTCAGACGCAACTTACGAGCAAGCTCTCGCCGCTACCCAAAGCGGCGCTACCATGATCACCCACCTGTTCAATGCCATGCGCCCGTTCTATCATCGCAACCCCGGGGTCTTCGGCCTGTTCGGTCAGACCGATCGCCCGCGTCCCTTCTATGGTGTCATCGCTGACGGCATCCACTTGCACCCGACTTCCATCCGCATCGCTTACAACGCTCATCCGACCGGGCTGGTCCTTGTGACGGACGCCATGAGGCTGTGTGGGCTCCCTGACGGAGTCTACGACTGGACCAACGGGGACCGCATCGTGAAGACCGGCGCGCGGCTGACCCTGGAAGGTTCGGACAAGATCGCCGGAAGTTCCGCGACCTTGATCGAGTGTGTCAACAATTTCCGTCGGTGGTCAGGAGCCTCGACGGCGGATGCCTTGAACGCCGCCACGGCCACCCCGGCGCGTCTTCTGGGCTTGGAGGGAGTCAAGGGCTCACTGAGCAAAGGCGCGGATGCCGATCTGATCGTCTTGGATGATGAAGAAGATCCCTTCTCCGGCCCGACCTTGACTATTCGTCAGGTGTGGAAGCGGGGTGTGAAGGTATTCGACACTGAACATGATGTTGGGGTTGTTCCTTCGAAGGCCTAAGGTCTTCCTATTAAAGCTTTCTCTTTATCTAGTTCTGCTTCGTTGAGCGTCGGAATTGGCAGTCAAACCATCACATCAGGTGACTAGAGCACTGGACTGTGGGAAGTGACGGTATACTTGCTTCTTGATATACATTTGCTTCTAAGACGGGGGTAATGGCGCATCGTGTTTTACAGCATAGCCAAGTAGATATTGAATGAAAGAATAGAGGTATTCTATTTTCGCTCTAGGCCTTGCCATCTGAAGTATGATTTTCAGGTGTAGCTCTGTAATAGATTCTGATTGGATGTTTATCTTCTCCGGTGGAAATATGTTGCCTTGAGGCAGCGAGGCAGCTCGGATGAATTGGAGCTGTCTTGCGACCTCCACAATCAAGTCAATAAAAGCCCCTCCAACAGTATCCTACATCATACGGGGTTAGGATCTCGCCAGGGCTCGCAAGGCTGCGGTGGTCGACAACAACAAATAGCCAAACAAGAAATGGCCAGACCCGCCTAGCCCGCCGCCCCCAAACACCTAACCGTCACGTATATACTCCAGCAACGCCAATGTCAGACCGCTCCCTACCCCGTCTGCTTCTCGCATTTTCACAACCATCACGGCAAAATGCAGCTATTCCAACTACCCACGGAGATCTTACAGGTTATCATCAGCCAGATCGACTCCCGAGCTTCACTCGCTCGCTTGGCGCAGGTATGCCGATTTCTGGAGGCGTTAGTCGACCCAATTCTCTACCAATCCGTCTACCTACGCAACCACGACGGTGAAATATTCATTCGCGCACTCGAGCTCCGCCCAGCCCGAGCGCAGTATATCCGCGAGCTGCTGATCCACTACCACTATGTCAACGTCCCCGACCAGCAGGCATACTACCCGCTGTTGGTGGAGGGTCTGGTGCCGACGATCCGCCGGCTGGTCAACCTCCGGCGGCTGACAGTCAAAGGGCTTCTCTACGATGCGCCGCGGGACTACGACGACCCGGACTTGGGCAATGTAGAGAGATTCGACGCTTACGCAGTGGAGTGGTTCCGGCTGTTCGAGCATGCCGGTGGCGCGGATGTTCTGCCTTCCTTGGAGTCATGTTGGTCGGCCCCATTCCCCCTCTTCTTATTACCCTAAATATATCACATGATGCTGATTTCCTCGTTAAAGGCCAAATGATCATGGACGATGTTCCCTACGACCCAGAGATCCGCACGGAACTATGGAGCTTCGATACCCGGAGCGCCGTCATGATCCACCCTCATCTACGGGACCTGACCCTGGTCGGAGCGCTCGTCGGGGGCCTGGATCCCGCCCTGCAGTACGAGCCGCGCTCCACACGACTGGAGAGTCTGACCCTGCTCTGCTGCGACGTATCCTCGGACGGATTGCGCGAGCTACTGCGTATCCCTGAGGCCTTGAAGCACCTCACCTGGAAAGGTGTCCCGGCGACAGCTCCCCCGGAGTTTTGGCCGGGAGACCGACAGAGCTATGTCGACGCTATCCGCACGCATGCAGACTCGCTGGTCAGTCTGGATCTGGACTTTTATGCGATTGGTGGACATCATCCGCCGTTGGATTTTCGGGATTTCCGCAGTCTGCGGCAGCTAACGATCGATCCGGGGGTGCTGAGAGGTGATACCACGGATGCGGATGGGAATGCGCGACACGCTACGACGGAGTGTCTGCTCCCTGGCAGTCTACAGGGGCTGGTCCTTCGGGAATATAGAGAGTACAGCGTGCCAGACCAAGAAACTCTGCCGCTCGTCTATCGCTGGGTGTCATCAGGGGCGCTGCCTAGTCTGCGAAGCGTGGTCGATGGGTATGCATGCATGCAGCCGACGCGTCTTTCAGTTGCCAAGCGAGAGAGAAAACTAACAGACAGAGAAACATATAGCTTCAACAACCCCGCTTCGCCCTACACCAAACGCCCCCTGCTCTACTGCCAGCCCGCCACCGATGAATCCACCCCGGACCGCGTCCTCATCCAGTACGCCCGCCGCTACTTCACCGGCTTCCAGGCCCAGCCCCGCTCCGCGGACATCCCCCCGATCACCGAGGCGCAGGCCGAGGCCCTCGACGCCTTGCACTTCCTGGCCGAGCAGCACAGCGCCGCGCTGGACTTCCAGAAGGGGGATGTGCAGTACATCAACAATTTGAGTATCTTCCACGCCCGGAATGGGTTCCGGGATGAGCCGGGGAAGGAGTACGTTGATCTTGGCCCCTCCTCTAAAAGCCCCATCCTGTGGGGGAAGAGGTGTGTTGTGCTGACAAAGATTCCTAGACGCCATTTGCTGCGACTGTGGCTGCGCGACCCGGAGTACGCGTGGGAGACGCCCGGGCCGCTGCGGAAACGGTGGGATATCGTCTACAAGGATGTGCGGGTCGAGGAGCAGGTGTTTCCGCTGGAGCCGCGGTTGCGGAAGACGGTTGGCGCTTGAGCGATTTGCCGCGAAATGGATTGTGGTTGGTTGGTGGAATGGAACTCTGGGGACTCGGTGATGATAGATAGTTGATTGGGGAAAGTTGTGGTAGCTTCGCGGCACAGGTTGTTCCAGTGAACTCGGAAATGGGCTGCAGGTACCAGATCGTAACGCTTTGGCCTCGACTATCTGGACCGTTTGGCCTGGTTGTACAATTACACCAATAGTGCCCCAGTTGTCGGGCCTCGCACACTATCAATAAGACAGAGACAAATGATATTGGCTTCATGCTACAGCCTACTCCCACCCCCGCCCCCTCCCTCCTGCCCAGTCTTCGCCCCGCCCTCGAACCGAATCAAGACCTTCGTCTCCAACCGCTTCGAGAACCGACGATACGCTTCCGGGGCATGCTCGATATCCATCACCGAAGAGAACACGAACCCGGGCCCCTCGCCTTGCCTCCCCCCCCCGGATCAGCTCCAGCAGCGGCGCCACCGCGGTCTTCGAGTCCACCGGCCCCGCGCGCAGGGTCAGACCCTTCTTCCACACCTCCGACAGCGGGCACGGCACCGTCGGCGAGATCGTATCCCCGCGTTGCACACGCCCGGGGACGTCGGCATCGCGAAGTACACCCCGATGATCGCCAGCCCGCCGCCCACGCGGGTGCACCGCCGTGAGGCGCACCACCGCGTCGGTCTGCCAGACGATCGTCAGCTTGGGGAGGGTGCGCACGTGGACTTTGTACGGATGACCGTCGAAGACCACGGCGCGCATGGTCGGTTTGTTGGTCGTGGATGGGTCTGGATCGGGCATGTTCTGAGCGTTTTGGCTTGGAGAGGGGGTTGGCAATGGGGTGGGGGTGGGGGTGGGGGTAATAAGGATAGCAGGTTATATGTATGTAGCATGTAGGCGGAGTGGTCGGGTCAGCCGTTGCATGTGCTCATTTGTAATAGCTTCATCGAAACACCACAGGGATCCTTTGTAATACCCCCCCTCCCCCGATGAGAGCCGGCAAGGCAAAAGGAGTGATGGGTTGGTTGTAACGGTACCTGAGGGAGCACAAATGCTGCTAGCATAGTCAACAAACGCCGCTTTGTCCCCCATCCCCCTCCCCCTCCCCAAAGACGAACTGCTAAACTATCTATCCATCGATCGTCCGAACTGGAAACTGAGGAGACCTCCCAGATTCGAGAAAATCCAAGCAATCCCTCCTATCAGCATCGATGCAGCTGACAAGATCCATATGGTTTCCAAGTCCCAGGCCACAGGAGAACGGGACTAGGACTCTCACTTTTCCGGGATGGTCAGGGCCTTTAAGTAAACCTAGCCATGATCCTGATTATTTTCTCTATGATTGAATGGATGAAACAGGGGTTATGTCGAAAAGTCTTGCATTCGACCACAAAAGTACTCGTGGTGGGCTGCCAGGACGTGATCGGCAAGGCCAAAAGACCGAATTTCCTCTAACGTTATATAGTATAGATAGTCATTACCACCTCTTTTCAGGTTACTCTAAGCGCGTCATCTCGACTATCCGAGTCAGTAATGGCGACCAACGCTCCAGTGAGCACCAAAGCATCATCCTCCGAGCCGGATGCCGATCTCGAGGTCCGGGCGGGCGTGGTTATGGGTCGTATCCGAAGTGGCGCAGCGCATACCTCTACTGCCGAAAAAGTCCAGACGGGGATATGGAGGGGATCTACTTTGAGGATAAAGACCTCCCGACGTCCCGAATATCCGGGAATGGGGACGGCGCGTGGTCCTCATAGAGGAGTCCGGGCCTGACACGGGGCCGCAGGTTCTTTATGGATGAAAGCCGCGCTTGGACTCCATTCCCGAGTTTCTGGACTGCTACGTGAGTGGGCTGGAGAGCTTGGATGCCCGTACGCTGCTTAGTCTCCGCCGGCATGCAGGTGGATGTGAAACCGATTGTGAGTCGGATTGTGATGAACATCTTCTACTCTGTTAGACTTTTCTCCGATACTGGGGGATTCAAGAAAATGATTGAGAATTTAGAGTCCTGGCCATCGGGTGGCTCCTGATAAGCGTCGGGCAAGGCATGCGAGTAAAAGCAGCAACAAAGAAGATGTCATATAATCTATCCCCAGTCAGACAATCTGTCTTTGATACAGCAGCCGATCAACCAATGAGTACACCGTAAAGTCTGCAGAATCTACTACCCAATCAGCACAGTCAACCAGGAGTCACCTGAAGGCGAGTCCTTATGGAGCTCAGCACTAGGCCTTGCCACGGGTCCGGTTTCACCTAATGTAAATCCCCTCAAATTCAAGAGTAGAACTACTAATCAGACTATACGCACCAAAGCCACGAGAGTGACACCTGGTTCATGGAAGCCTCCTCAGCATATCCCGCTGCTGAGCCCTTTCCAACTCCGTCAATGCCGTCTGGATCAGCTCCTGCGTACTCTGCCGACGAAACTCGCGCCGTGCCGCCTGCAGTCCCTCCTCCCAGCGCCGCCATCGGGGCAGATCGAAGTAGCGAGGATCCTCCGGATTATCCCCGAATCTCCGCCGCGCCTGACAATTCTCCCACATCCGCGCTCCGGCATAGAGGAACCAGATACAGGCGGCGCGCACCGCCTCCTCGACCGGTTCATCTTCTTCCTCAAATGCGCTCCGGCACGCGTACAGCCCATACAGCGAGAAATCCATGGGATGGCCGAGCGCATCCGCCGCGGCCGTCAGCTGCGCCATGAACGCGGTCCGGTTCTCCCACTCCCGGACCTCGGCCGGGGGATACTCCTCTGCCTCGGGGTAATCCTTCTTAACATAACCTGCTTGGTCCCAGTCAGCGAAGGTGTGCGCGAACAAACCCGACAGCGGCGGAAAGGAGAAAGAAAGGGAGGGGGTCCACGCACGGAAACCAGATCTATCGGCCAAGTAAATGCGGAGGTAGGGGAGATCGGTCCAGAGTTTCAGATCCTCGGCCGCTGTCAGCGGTCGCCCCGTGACCGGGTCGATGACGGGGGTCTTTTGGAGCTGGGCGACGAACTCGATGAGCTTCGCCTGCTGCGCAGCTGGGGTGAGACTCGCGAGTTCGACGAGCGGGAACATCGTGAACCACGCATGGTTGCCTGCGTTGCTTGTGTTGTTGTTGCCGCTGCTGTCCAAGGGCTCTTTCTCCTGCGGTGGGGTCTCGCGGGTCTGAAGCAGTCGTTGGACGGCCGCGGTAGGAGAGGCATCGGGTTTCTGGAGGAGCTCCGCAAGGACTTGGACTTCCAGTCGCTCCAGGAGCTCGGAGCCGAACTCTTCCAGAAAGGCCTCCATTGCTGATGGGGTGGAGTTTGGGGTGTTGATGAGTGTGGTGTTGTTTTGAGTGATGAAACAAGGTAGATGAAGCACACGGTGGGTGTTCGTTTTAAAAGGAGTTAATGATTAGTCGATGGCGGTAAGGACTACCTGAACTAACCGAGACAGTCAGTCAGCAATCTCTTGGTTGTTCTGTTGGTTGTCCTAGTCACGGATTAGTTGACAGCCCTTAGTATTAGTATAGTATGAATCTGAAGCCCAGTGGCCGAATCGTAAGCTGTCAGCCCTGCACCTCCAACCGGCCCCCAGTTGGCCCCAATTAACACTGCCCTGCCTTGAACACCCACGCTGTTTGGGGCTGAGAATCCATTTTGGCCCTCGTAGAGTTTGACCCCCAATTGTCAACAAGGTAATAGGGTCAAAAGTGCAGGCTATATAAAGCCACCGTCGCTGCACCCACCGTTTACCAGGCTCATCTCGCATCAACCCAGTCACTCATTCACTCATTCATTCACTCGCTCACTCCATCTTACTATTTTCTCTTTTCCCGAACCCACAGACAGATATAGAAGCTACCTATTCTTCTTCTCTCTTTTAAAAATGCTCTTCAACCTCAAGCCCACCCTCCTCTTCGGTCTAGCCCTAACCGCAGTCGCCAGCCCGATCGCCAGCGACACCGACCCCCTGGAGGCGCGCGACCTGCTCAGCCTCCTCCCCCGCGCCCAGGTCAAGGACGTGAACTGCGGCGGGGCCAAGTTCACCGCGGCCAACATCAACGCGGCGATCAAGCAATCCAAGGTCGTCGAGACGGCGCGAGCGGCGGGCCAGAAGGGCTATGGCAAGTACCCGGAAACGTACGGCAACGGCGAGAAGTTCTTCAAATCCACCAGCCAGCTGTATGCGTACCCGTTGATCTCGGGGGTTTATTCTGGAAGTGGGTCGTCCTTTTCCGTTAAAAAGAAAAAAAAAATTGGTTTGTGAGAGATGCATGTCGGAGCTAATCATGGGGACTTTTCTTGGTGGCAGAGTCCAGTGCCGGTGAACCTGGCAAGTATCGGGTTATCATGAATGAGAAATACACGTACATGGGGTCTGTGTATCATCCCCCCGGGACGGGCAATAGCTATAACCTGTGTGTCAATGATGAGGCGGCGGCGACAACGACCACCACCACTACCACCACTACCACCACTACGACAACGAAGGCGGCGAAGACAAAGAATTGACGAGGTGGGGAGTCGTACTACTAGTATGGGGGAGAGGCTATCAGGGGACGACGGTTGGCGAGAGATTTTGTTAAGGGTAGAACTAGTTGGGGTCAGGATATGGCGATGCTCTTCCAGCTATGTACACTACAATACAACACCTGGCTTGCTGAGATACTCAACTTTTGTAGCACTTAGCTTGAGCTTAGACCAAGGAAATGTCGGTGGTGGTGTGCTCTATGCGCCAACGCTTACATCGCTACCAAAGTTGTTTCTTATGTCAATAATAGCGGTATCGTCTCTTAATGCCAGCTGTAGTCAGTCTCCCCAGTATGCTTTTCCCGGAATGTGAAGGTGCAAAGACCTGCAAAGAACCCCCCTCATCGCAGCGCAAAGGTCTCACGTAATCTCATAATCAACAGCTCCTACATCACCTCTGTGCATTGATGCTGAACTCCTCAGGTACGCCCTTCGTATCTCGAGCAGAGGGAAGTTCGGTCGAACAGAACTTGTAGATGCATGAAGCACATCAAATCAAGAGCCCAAACCGGAATCTTTACTTCCCTGGCAGACCGCCTATCCCCTCCTCTCTTTACCATGCAGTTGACCTACAACCAATCGATCATCCAACCACATCAGCCCTGGACAAGCCTACCCCTTCACCACCCGCCCATCCTTCATCTCGACCATCCGATCAACACCCCGGATCTCATCAGGCCGGTGCGAAATCTGCAGGACGGTGTACCCCCTAAACTCTTCGTCTACCACCTGCTGCATCAAAGCATGAGTCGCAGCATCGGTCCCACTGGTCGCCTCATCCAGGATCAAGATGCCGCCGCCACCTTCTCCTCCAGCAGAGTGGCCCTCTCGATTCCACTTGCGCACCAGGGCAACAGCCAGCGCGAACAGCCTCTGCTCGCCTTGCGACATGGAGGCAGACGTCAATCCCTCGTCCAGGCCTCCGCGCGATGTAACCACAGCCAGAAGGTTGCATCTTTCCAAGGCTAAAAGCAGAGTCGAGTCCGTTGCACGGCCGGTGGGATCCAGGTTGAAGCGGATCGAGCCGGGAAGGAGAAAAAGGTCCTGCGGGATAGCGATGACGAGGGAGCGAAGCTCGTTGCGGGGAATGGTGGAGATGTCCATCCCGTCGATGGAGATCGTGCCGCTTAGAGGGTCGAGAAGACGCAGGAGGGCCGAGATGAGCGTGCTCTTGCCGCTGTTACCAAGAGTGAGTGAGATATGTACTATGTGCATTAGCAAACTCCGACTCACCTGCCAGTTCGTCCACAGATCATCACTTTCTCTCCGGCTTCGATGCTCAGAGACACATTGTCTAATGCGCGCGTGCTCCCGCTATAGAATTGCAATGATCATTGGTCAGAGGTTCATATCATGAGAGACGAGAGATGAAGCACGCACTCGTATGAGGCAGAAAGAGCATTGATCTCAATCCGTCCATCAGCAGGCCAGCTCGGTGGCGGAACCACCCTTTCCCGAGCATCATGCTCAGAAGGCGTTTTCATCTCGAAAGACCTTGTCCTTGCAATCGCACCAAGAGAGGTCTCCAGAGAGGTCCAACTGGACACCACCTCTTGCAGAGTCTGACTGAAAGCCATAATTGCGGTCAAGGAGACTCCGAGCTTTCCTGGATCAGTGGAGTTCCGCAACGACGTGGCTAGTGCGATGAGTATCACAGCCAGCACGGCAACGAGGAGATCGAGGACGACGTTGAGCCACCGCTGAATACAATAGAGAAGATAGTATGGCTTTTGCGAACCATCGAGTCGGCGTAAGCACTCTGCCACAAATGACCGTTGCCATCCAAGGCCTCGGATAGTAGACAGACCCTCGAGAGTCTCCACAAACAGTGTGTAAAGTGGGCTTCTAGATTCAAGATCGAGAAATCGGAGCTGTCTGGAAGTTCGCAGGTACACTTTCTGCGCGCAGTATAATACCAGCAAACACGGGATTATCGTCACAGCCATGTAGCTCGAGCCCAGCGATATCAGTGCAACCTGGGCAAAGCATTGCGCAACACCTGAAACTGGGATTAGCTCTGGAATTGAGTGAAAATGATCCAACATACTCAGTACCGTTCCAAAAGCCATGGTGGGTAGGACAGCATCTACAAGGGTCATGTCCTGGCTGAACCTATTCAAGATGACGCCGGAATCAACCCCAGCAAAGAAATACATCGGCGCATCGACTACAGTTCGGACAAGCACCCGGTGCAGCTCCAATCCCGATTTGATGACGATCTTGATCATGATTTGCCTGGATCAATAATTAGGAAGACATACACGGAGGGTAGACCATATTAGAGGCTTACCATATCATAAGCCCCTGGGACCCTGAGGCAGCTACAGCAAGCAGAACGTAGATACCAATAAACTGGGCGGCTTGTTGCCCATCGTCGCTTGTGAACAGTTCCAGCCACACCTCTTGAACCCCAATTAGCAGAGTATAATGCATAATGGGGATATACTTACGGGGGAAGGTAGAGGAGAATGTATGCACGACAATAATCAGACAAGCTGCCAAGATGCTCGGCCATCCGATGGCCCTCATATAGTACGTATAGACTGCAACATCGCCTGTGCGGCGAGCTACATCTGCTATGTCATCAACAGTGAGGGTTTCCACCTTTTTTGTAGAGGCAGACTTGTCCTCACTCTCATCTCCGGCTGTCGGGGTTTCCGAGCTGGCCTCCGTCGCATGTGTAATTGGTTGCGAGATCAAACCCAAACTCCGCACGGAGCCTTGCTTCTCGATACGTCCGTTCGAGCTCAGCATGACGATCTGATCCGCGACATGCGAATGTTGGTCTGGACTAAGACTTAGATACGGCTCTCGCAAATATCCTGGTCTGTACTGACCTGTATGAGTTGCCATCATTACAGTCGTACCGATTTGCCGGCAGACCCCATTGCGACCAAAACAGGCCTCAAGCACATACTGTGCCGTCTTCATATCAACAGCACTCAGGGCATCGTCGAGTACCAAAAGCCCTTTCCGTGAATAAATGGCTCGAGCGATTGCCTGTGAAATTGTCAGTACGAAGCGACAGTGATAGAAATTCGTGATGTACAAGACGTTGCTTCTGTCCTCCGCTCAGCTTCAGCGCCCCACTGCCGACCACAGACTGATCACCCTGCGGCATTCGGGAGATATCCTGCTCCAACGCACATGCCCTCAGTACCTCTTTGTACCATTTGACGTCCATCTCTGAGTAACCACAGATATTATTGCGAATGGTGGTGTTCTGAAGCCAGGGATTTTGGCTGCAGTAGCCAGCATCTCGCCATGCCCTTGTAATCGTTCCTCGCTCACAGGGTAGTTCACCCAGCGCTGCTTTCAAGAGGGTAGACTTTCCACTCCCAACAGGACCAATAATTATCATTACAGTGCCTCCCTTGATTGTGAAGTTGATCTCTGCTAGAGAGAAGTCAGATCCAGGAATCGGATGAATATATGCGTCGGTCATTTGCAGAACAATCTGGTCGGAATTGGGCTGTGTCTTGGGTGCCAATGCTTTCAATTCCACCATTGATCCGTTACCACTAGAGCTATCTGTTTCATGGTCGAGATCATCCTCTGACAGTGAGAGTTCCACAGAAGGAGAAGCAAGGAATTTGTGAATGCGGTCAAAAGCACCCAAAGCGGCTGTCACAGCCGGGATCGACGCCAGGAGCTGTAGCGCTGGGCTCGTGATGAGACTGATGATCGCAAGGGATGTGAAAGCCTGCACGGTTGACAGTGTATCTGAATGATCGATCTTTGCACGGATAACGAAAGCCGCGAATGTGACCAGAGAGGCACACATTTGAGGCAGACTCGCTTCCTACAGTCAGTAGACTCAGACGATAGCAAAGAGGATGCGGGATACTTACCAACCACGTTCAGCCAGACGATCAACCATCGGAAGTCTTTAGACAAATCCAGTTCTCGCTCTCTTTGTGCCTGAAGAGTTGTAGCGAGCGTCTCAGATAGGCCAAGCATCTTGACGCTTTTCATCGACCGCAGCGCCGTGGAAATTAAGCTCACACGGCGCTGGATAGCGCCGACCCAGACCTTCTGCCTTGCAGGCATGAAAGTTGCCATATACGTCTGGACGGATGTACACACTATGGCAGAGCAATGTCTCAGATACAAGGAATCAGAAAGAGAAAGGGAACCTACGGATAATCACAAGAATTGGGGCGACGCAAACGGCACCAAGCTGTCGCTCTAAGAGCCAGATACCAATGGCAATTTCCACCAATCGAGCCCATGTCTCGCTGATTTGCTCGAGCGACCGTGCGATCATGTCAACGTCAGTGCTCATGAGGGTTACAGCAGCCGCATCATCGCGGGGGGCATCCGTAAGGACCATAGTGTGGTCGTAGACCAATGCAACGGCTGCGCCTCGGAACATAGTGATCATCCGAAATAGTTGGTGTTTGTAATGCACCGTCGATATCTGAATTGGGTTAGGGCTTTTTGGGTCGACTGACTAGAATTGACATACTGCAATTCCTCCATAGATAAGCGCTGCGGCCCCGATCAAGCCATAGTTCTCGTTTTTTGTCAGCTGGGTGTCGGGTCTGTGTAGATGCTCGATTGCACGCTGGATAAAAAACGTCTGCGCGTAGCTGAATCCGATCAGACATAGTCTCGGGAATATCGTTCGAAGGATTGCCCAACGTAGACTGATCACGGTGGCGAATATCAGGCTGCGTGTATGGCAAGATTTGTCTGCAGGGGTCGACACTTAGTGAGATTGCCACGATATGAAACAACAAAAAAAGATTATACATTTGCCCCACGCTCTTCGAATTCTCCGTCCCAGACGGCTTGAGTTCAAGGCTTCGTCCGTTGGAAATAGATTCTCGACTGTCAGAAGCTTTCGGAACCCTCTAAGAAATAGGCCGTTGAGCCACCAGAAGACAGTGCGAGCGAAGATTCCACTGGTCGACTCGGGCGAGACGACACGATATGGTGACTTCAGATACTTGCGTTTACTTTGGGCTTCCAACATCAGTAGAACAAGCTTCAATGCAACGGATGCGGCAGCTAGTGTTGCCAAAGGAGATGGATAGTGCCGGATGAATAAGGTGCGCACTTGCACGGCATCGAAGAGCGTTGATAGCAGAAGATAGATGCTCAGAAGCGATGACGGGCGCAGTGAGCGATCATGTTCGAGGGCGGTTAGGACAGTGATGCTTATGGAGTCGACCAGCGATAGGACGATGGCAGGGATGGCCGTCCTGGTGAGGTTGTGGCGCGCCCATTCGACCACCGAGGTGATTTGTAGACCGACAAGACATAACGCAACAGCCTTGATTTGGCCAGTTCAACTGTTAGCATATGTGCCAATGCGGATCAGATGAAGGTACGACGGACAAGCTTGCCCCAATGGGCCTTGTTGGCGACCGTTTTGATGTTTTCTGTGTAGAGCGACCAGATCCGCCAAGGAACTACGAGGAGGAAAATGGCCGATGGGCCGATGGCTAAAATACTTTGTTCGAAAAGCAGAGTGAAGTCAAAGATCGCTGGACAGGCGATGACCGGTCCAAACGAGTTGTCCGCTTCGGGCGAGCAGCTGCCTGCCATGGTACGGTTCGAGTTTAGCATCCAGACACAAAAGAATATGGTGGATGGAAACTCGAAAGAGAGGAGAGAGGAAAGAGTGATATTTGAAGGTTGAAGATTGAATATTGGATGTTGAAGACAAGAAGGAGAAGGGGAGATAAGGCAGACATGTGACTGGCCAGGGACCCTGGTCGATGGACGTAAGCGCGTGGCTGCCTGGACGCCTGGACGCCTGGACGCGACCTGAAAGACTACTAGTAGCATTGAACAATCTTCTAGCTGTGAACATCAGCTTCATCTACATAGCAAGGCTTACATCTCATACGGATGTCCCGACATGTCTCAAAATCAATTATCTAGCAGAATCTCACTGTGGCTAAGTGTTCCCTTCACACCAGCAAGATCAACAGGATGAACTTCACTATCTTGGACAGCCCTCCATAACAACTCCGAGTCTCTGCACTGATGCGGATGTCCCAGCCCATCAATGATCAAGACGCGTTTTCCATCTCTATCGACAGCCGAGCGAGGTGGTTCGATAGTGTCGTCTGCCGCACAGATTATAGCCTTACAACTGTCAGGATGATAGGGGCGTCACCAAGTTCACCACAAGGAACTCACCTGTGCGATGTAATCGAAACAATGCTCCCAATGCACAGCATCTTCATGAGCATCGCCCGAGTGAGAAGGTGATGTTGTGGGCGCCCCGTGATGCTGGGTCGTGTCCGGGAATATCAGCCCACGAAGAACCGTCAAACAGTGGAGCTGGTGGAACATGGAGATCCCGTAGTCGGTTACGGTGCTGTTGCTTGTTCGGACCTTTAGTATGCCGCCATTTTGGGGGAGAAGAAGTGATTCCCATGAGGTTTTCGGGGCCAAAGGCTGGAATTCGCGAATGAATGGAGGCCGGGAAGGGGGCTCGCTGGAACAAACATGGAATTGGAAGGGTAGTGAGAGGCTGCTCCAGTTGCCCACTGAATTGAATATGACACCGATAGTTACGAAAAGAAGGAATATCAGTGCTGCTGAGATGCTATAGAGGAAGCGTGTTGAATAGGGCATGTTTCGAGTCTGCGTCCCACGCTCAGCCGGCTGGGGCAGGAGCAACGGAGAAGTCCGCTTTACAATAATGAATCCGTATACAGTGGAAGCCCTCAAAGCTGCCTTGTCTGGCTCTAGGCTTCCATATAGGGTGGCGTGAGCCATTCATTTTCTAGGTTACATCGCGTGGTTCCTGTTTCGAAAGCATACATCGTACCTTTGTTCTCTAATCAGCCCGTTGATGGCGCTAAGCAGGGATCGGTGACCGAGCGTAATCAAGCGCAATTTATAAAGCACACCATGCAGTAGCCTAAATGCTTGATAAGAACACAAACATGACCTGGACCCCTAGTCTCGACTCAACCCCGCTCTCAGACTTGCCCCAAGTACTGGTGCTAGGCCGATCATCGACCCTGATATTAGCGCCCCTCCACAACCTCCTACATGGTGGTCGTCTTATCCAATTATCCCACTATCAGAGCCATCATCGGGGTTGGAATTGTACCAACCAAACAGCTCCTTGAATCGATGAGACATCACCCTGGCCGCTGCATCAGGTGGCTTCCGAATGGCAGCAAACTCGTCTACGTCGACCGAGTTCTCCTCCTGCCAACGCAAGATGGCGTCGAAATCCCGGCATTTGTGGTTGACGCTGAAGTCGGGGAAGGCGTTCAGCTGCGCATCTGCCCAGTAATGGGTGTAGATGTCGACATTCGCGGTGCACATGAGGTTCTGGAGCAGCAGGTAGATGCAGTGGGAGATATGGGTCCGGTGCATGTCCGACGGCGGAGTCCCCGGCGGCCATTTCTTCCCATAGTAGTGGTCAAAGTACGCTTCCCGGCGCAGCCAATCCAGGCAATGAATTTGATGGAAGACGTCGATCCGTCCAATGTATGCCTCGGATCCGAAGCCAAAGCTTTCAGGCCATTTTGCCGCTTGCTCGGGGTCCCTACCCAGCTTGACCACGTCACCACGACTGATGGCGATGGGTCTGATGTTTGCTAGTCGGTTCCAGGCTTCGTCCACCTCGGGGCTGGGTGGCTGGCGGTAGATGGGTAGGGGATCTGGCTCCACTAACGTCGCATTCATCCTTTTGTGGATGAGAGGAATTTCCAGTCGATCGAATATGGGGGCTGCAAGCCGTTAGCGAACTGAATGTTGCGACCAAGCTTGAGTCACCCTCACAATATTCAGAGGTTTTCCGCAATAGCTGGCTGGGAACGCTGCTGCTCCGGACAATGCTCGCGGTCATGGCAAAGAGAAACAATGACATTGCAAAGATGGTAGCATTGAGCCAAACAAACCAACGGTGTCGTGGATGGGGATACTCGCGCTGGGACGTCCTTTCCTCTAGAAGTGCTCCATTCTCGCTTTCCGTACCTTGTCGCCCGTCATCGAGGGCATCAGAGTCTCGACGGTCCAGTCTTTCATAGGTTGGACACATTCCGAACTTCATCTTCATCAGTCGAGGCGTCCTTCGATTCTGGTGGGTAAGAAACTTCCAGACGGTAGGCGATGGAGCGCAGAGCAAGGAATGATCAAATACCTCGACCCCAAAGTGGTATTTTCTCTTGATCTGGGATATGCAACACCCCTGGTAAGTCGATAATACAACGACAGTTCCCTAGTGAAGATAATTGCTAATCAATTAGCCTGTGCCGCCTATGCCGCCCATATCGTCCTGTTGGTAGCTTTCCACCTTCCTCCCAGTCTGGAGGAAGTGCAGATATCTGCTGCAGTCACATTCACAGTAGTGTGCAGTAGTTCGCATTGGAATAGCTTTTGGACTTGGAACAGCTTTCTTTCTCAGCACACTTAGTCTTCTCTGCACTTCGACCAAGCACATACGACCACAGGGTGTGGAAAATAGGGCTTCCCGTCCGCTCAGCCGTACTCAAGCCACACGCCGGGAGGTTAGTAGTTGGGTGGGTGACCACCAGCGAATCCCTTCTGTTGTATGTTTTCGTGTTCTTTTTGCTGCAGTCCATCATCTTGTCAGAAACCCTTACTGCTTTATTTTCCTCTCTTTGGGTCTATCTCTTTGCCCTTGATAGGCTGTGCGATATGTGTATGGCACATATGCCATGCGCGTATATGCAGGACTCTGTTGTTGGACTGTCATGTCTTCCCAAATTGGATTAGAGGTGCAGACATCTACTGGACTCACATTCACAGTAGTGTACAACGACGCCGTTGAGATGGATTGACATCCCCGCATGACACATACTCTGGCTGTGCAATTATGGCACCTACACGTATGGGTCAGACTCCGCTGATGGGTCGTCACCTCTTTCCAGATTGAAAGAGGTGCAGCCGTCAGCTGCGATCGCAATCACGGTGGTGTACAACCATCACATAGACCTGGCATCTAGCCTTGGTTGTGTAGACAGGCCATACCAAACGATCCGGCCCGAAGTTTCTCAGATGCAAGAGTGGAAAGGCCAGTGCTCGAGACCTAGATATAATTAGCCCTCCCATCCCTTCCTTCCTGCTCAACAGACCATCTCTTCTCGATCGCAAGCCTCGCCAGAAGTCCCCAAGCATACCCCGCCCACCATGAAGTACCCCGTGCTTCTTTCTGCCATCTACGGCCTCCTTCTAAGCCCTATGGCAGCTTCTGCACCGACAGCCAAGCGTATGTACATCCTTCCCACCCCAGAATGTAGGCATTGGCGTGATTCAACCAGTATGGAGCTAAGATACATCAGCAGCATTCACACTTCGCGTCCGGGCGGATGACCTCCGCGCTCTCCGCGCCAGAGCCAGCACCGAAGCCACGGCGCTGTATGGGTACATTGTCGCCGACACTGAGCTAGACAAGCGCGACGAGGAGGCGACGGCATTGTATGCGTATATTGCAGCCGACACTGAGCTAGACAAGCGCGACGAGGAGGCGACGGCGTTGTATGCGTATATTGCGGCTGATAGTGAGTTGAAAGACGAGTGAAGGCTCTCAGACCTGTCGGGAAAGCGCTGTAGCAGCAAGACACCATGCTTAAGACTGGTCCATCTGGAAAAGAGCCATCGCTACAATCTTCACGTCTCGCCTAAGAGATAATGTGGCATGCAGTCACTGTTCCACTTCAGATCCACTATTACCATAAGACCTCCCTCGTAACGATTGAACCGGGCAAGGCCTATTAATACTTATAAACGAGATACTGCGATATCGCTTCAGTATATTTTTAAGCAGACACGTGACTCTGGGTAGATCTATAGACCTGGCTCCAAGGATCTGCCTAGAAATGGACCTATTTAGGTAATTCCAGCATTGTTCGAACGAATTCTGGTCTGCAGAGCTAGTCGAATTATCCCTAGAATTATATTGAGGTAACCCGGCGATACTTGTACAGTGGATCGATTTTGGTTTCGGCAAAATTGCTGTAGACAGAAAATCGCCTTACGGAGGATTGTCTGACAGTAGGTGACTTGAGAGGTAGGAGCCACGTTTCCGACCTGACCGCACACGACCTGGAACTGAATAGCCCTTTTGGGGAATATAGTCGGGGGTGGGGCAGGTGGCAGCAACTACAGAATCCAGGCGGCTCGAAGCGCGAGACTATGCTCGGGCTGGAAGGAGTCTTACTAGGATAAATAACTACTAATAGCTTGGTGGGTTAAGCACCATTAGCCTGTTGCGGAAGATTGAGGAGAAGCCATATATTTGCATGGTTCCTATTCGAAAAGAAAAAAAGAAAGAAAGAAACTGGCGGAAGTGATAATGAACTCAGTGAACTGACATCGAGAAATAACATAGACATACGGAGTAACTTGACTTGGATGACTTTGTATGCCTCGGGCACAAATGGCTTAGTCAGAGAGCTCGGCCAGGGCTTACCCTAACTAGCATCGGGACTTATGCTGTGCTAAGCAATGCTAATATAAGATAATGCTTAAAGTTATCCTTTGGATTCTTAACCCTGATCTAGTGCTCCCAGGGCGGGTAGAAATTTCACCGAAGCACGGAAGAAGCGTTCTGGATTGTTCGGAGTTTCGGAGCTCTGACGCAAGGAGCTTCATTATTGATTGCAAAGCACAGACTCCAACAATCGAAGAAACCCTCGATAACAGCTCGATAACCGCCTCCACAAAAACGACTCCACCGCCACCTCTGCTATTTGCCTGTGCTTTTTCCCCACTAGATGGCCATTGCATGATGTAATGCTGTCCAACTCAGTTAGAAAAAGCGGCGGTGAAGCTGCGTGAGTCTGTCTGTCCTTTCCACCTGACCAACAAACTTTATCACTCCCCTTCTGATTCTGACTCTTTTTCTCTGTCCAAAACTTTTCTTACTCTTCCTTTGTCATTTCCTGCTAAATCTCCTCTCAATTGCCTCCCCACAACCACTACCTCTATACACATACACACACTCACTCACTCACACTTACACACACAATGGCCCCCCTTAAGCTCAGCAACAAGAACCTCTCACAGATTGCCTCCACTGCCGGCGAGCACCAGGTGCAAGTACCAACCTACCAGCGCGGGGATGCCGTGAAGGAGGGCATCGTCCACGTCGGGGTGGGCGGCTTCCACCGCGCCCACCTGGCCGTGTACGTCGACCAGCTGATGCAGAAGCACGGGGAGAAGAACTACGCCATCTGCGGCGTGGGACTGCAGCCGTTTGACGCGGCGATGCGCGACGCCCTGGGGTCGCAGGACCACCTGTACACGGTGATCGAGCGGTCGGCCAAGGGGAGCTTCGCGCACGTCGTGGGCGCCATCAACTCGTACCTGTTCGCGCCGGACGACCGCGAGGCGGTCATCGCCAAGATGGCGCACCCGGACACGCACATCGTCTCGCTGACCATCACCGAGAGCGGCTACTACTACAACGAGAACACGCACGAGCTGCAGAGCGAGCACCCGGACATCCAGTACGACCTCGACCCGGCCCACGAGACCGCCCCGCGCACCACCTTCGGCTTCCTGTACGCGGCGCTGGCCCGCCGCCACCAGCAGGGCTTGAAGCCGTTCACCGTCATGTCGTGCGACAACATGCAGAAGAACGGCTCCATCACGCGCCACATGCTCGAGTCGTTCGCGCGGCTGAAGAACCCGACGCTCGCCGAGTGGATCGCCACGCAGGGCGGCTTCCCCAACGCCATGGTCGACCGCATCACCCCGCAGACCTCGGCCGCCGACAAGACGGCGCTCGCCGACAAGTTTGGCATCGAGGACAGCTGGCCCGTCGTCACCGAGCCGTTCATGCAGTGGGTCATCGAGGACCAGTTCGCCGACGGCCGCCCGCCCTTCGAGAAGGTCGGCGTGCAGGTCGTCAAGAACGTCCACGACGTCGAGCAGTTCGAGAAGCACAAGCTGCGCCTGCTGAACGGCAGCCACTCCGCCCTGGGCTACCCGGGCCAGCTGGCAGGCTTCCAGTACGTGCACGAGGTGATGGAGAACCCGACCTTCAACAAGTTCGTCTGGCAGATGATGCAGGACGAGGTGAAGCCCCTGCTGCCCGACATCCCGGGCGTCGACATCGACGAGTACTGCCGCACCCTCATGGGCCGCTTCGAGAACCCCACCATCATGGACCAGCTGCCGCGCATCTGCCTCAACGCCTCCGGCAAGATCCCCCAGTTCATCATGCCCTCCATCGCCGAGGCCATCTGGGTCAAGGCCCCGTTCCGCCGCCTTTGCTTCGTCGCCGCCGCCTGGTTCCGCTACGTCAACGGCGTCGACGACGCCGGCAACCGCTTCCCCGTCGACGACCCCATGCGCGACGAGCTGCAGGCCAAGGCCCGCGCCGGCGGCACCAAGCCCCACGAGCTGCTGAGCATCAAGACCCTCTTCGGCGACGATCTGCGCAGCGACGAGCGCTTCCTGAAGCAAATCACCCAGGCCATGGAGGAGATCGACCGTGACGGCATCCTCAAGACCTTGCCGAAGTATGTGGACTGAACGAGAAATTCTTGCATACCCTTATATATACCTTGGTACTTTAGAAGACGGTGAAAATGATTTGAGGGCATTTAATTCGGTTATTTGCAAGCGTTGGCTTTTTATATACATTTTTGGACTCGTGTTGATACGATTTCTGCCATCTGGCTTTCGGATATGTGATGCGTCATGCGGGATTGAGTTACGAAAGACGAGCATAGAAAAATCTCACCCTTTTGTTTTTTTGTCTCGGTGCATAGAAGATAGAGATAATGATAGATTAGGTTTCATTTATTTGTGTCTTCAATTCTGACTCTCGGGTACGATATACGTATACTGTTCTTGAGATTTATTGCCTCAGGCACGGCGGCAATGAATCTCACTCTACGCTACTGTGAGTATATATCACAGCCACCGCAAAATAGCCGGAGCCCCGGGAACGTCAACGTCAACGTCAACCCAAACCACGAACCCAGCTCCCGAGCTGAGCTGAAGGACAGAATCTACACATGAAAGAGAAGCTTCCAATGACGCAAGATACTCTGTAGGATCCAGCGAGTGGCAAAAGGATAAGCAGCGAAGAAAGAATCGCGATGGTGGCGAAGTTCCACCCGTTTCGATTGAACTTAGCTCACCGGGCCCCACACAGCCCACTTAAAACAAAAAAAAAAAAAAAACAGAATGGGACGAGCCGGGCTTGAACCGGCCACCTTCAGATTACAGATGTACTAGCCGAAGTTGATGCTTCAGTCTGACGCGCTCCCAGATGCGCCATCGTCCCGATTGTTGAATATTCAGGTTTATCTGATGGTGTATGTATAAGGGCAACAAAGCGGCAAGGACGGAAATTTGCTGCTTCTTTCTACCGTAGCTATTGCAACCTTAACATCTACGGAGGCTAGGATATGGTGATGAAAGTGCAACGCTGCAAATCCATTCATGATTAATGCTATGTACGTACATCCACTTCTTACACCTACGCACCCCCGGCCTGTTGCTGCTTCCATTGGTGTGCTTTCTGCAGCAGCTTGGACAGGTTGGCGGCCGACTGGTCGTCCGCGGGGAAGACGTAGTCCATGTATTCCTCGTAGCGGTCGTCGTCGAGCTTGCGCCGCTTCTTGACGCGGCGCGGCATCTGTTTCTCGATCTTGTCGATGTCCTCGGGGGAGCCGTGCGTGTGCTCGAACGAGCGCCAGGCGTTGAGGAGTTCCACACGCTTGGGGATGGGGGTGGTTAGTTTGATTGTCAACGTTACCGGGTGAGAACAACTAACCTCTTCTTTGAGTTCCTTGTCCTTGAACACCTTGTGTGCGCGGGTGAAGATCGCCCGGGCACGCCGCTTGGCCTCGTCGCTGACCGGCCGCTCCTCCTCCTCGTCTTCTTCTTCCTCCTCCTCGTCCGGCACGTTGATCTCGAACCGGGCGTAGTTGATCCACACTTTGACGTGGTCGGTCTTCTCCAGCAGACGCTCGTACAGGGAGCGCACGCGGTCGTACTCGCCCTCGTACTCCTCGAAGTCGATGTAGGACTTCCACACCAGCTCCGGCATGTCGAGGGTCGGCTGATCGATGCCCAGCTCGTAGATGGCGCGCGCGCGCTCCGTGTCGTCCAGCCCGCGCTCCAGCTCGGCGTACTTGATCCACGACTGGCTGTTGGACGGGTTCCACTCGATCTGCTTCTCGAACAGCGTCCGGCACCGCACGAACTCGAACAGCTGCCGCTCCAGGTCGATGTAGCCCCGGAAGAGCTTGTCCTTGGGGCACATGCCCAGCGCCTGGCCCAGCGCCTTGCGGGCGGCCGGTAGGTCCATCTGGCGGATTTCGAACTGCGCCTTCAGGAGCCAGATCTTTGCGAAGGTGAACCGCTTGTGGGGGATGAGCTTCAGACACTCGTTGTAGATCTGCCGCGCCCGCCCGGCGTCCTTGGCCTCCATCTCCTCCCAGATCGCGTAGAAAATCCACAGGTAGATATACCGCCGCCAGTGCCGCTTCTCCTGCGAGGGGGGGATCTGCGCGATGGCGCGCTCGTAGATGTCGCGCACCCGGTCCGGGTCGCCCGACGTCTCCTCCAGCCGCGCAAAGTCGAACCATACGTCGTAGTTGCGCGCGTTCTCCTTCAGCTGCTCCTCATACTGCACCCTGCGTTTCGACAGAATGACATCCTCCACGCCCTCGCGGTCCCCGAACTGCTTCTCGAACGTCGTGTACGCCTTGTGCAGCGCCATCGACTTGGACCGCGGCAACCGGTCCAGCGCGTACTTGTAGATCGCCCGGGCGCGCTCATACTCCTTCAGCTTGGCCTCGAACTTGGCGTAGGCAATGAACAGCTTCTCATCCATGAAATCCTCCCCGAGCGTCTCGATGGCGATCCCATACACCTCGCGGACCAGGTCACTCGTCCCGTACTCCTCCTCGAACCGCGCCCACTTGATCCAGTTGCGGGGCTCCGGGTGCACGATCGTGAAGCGCTGGAAGATGGCCCGCGCGCGCTCGAACTCGTTGTACCGCTTCTCCAGCTTGATGTAGGCACTCCAGGCGCCCTCCTCGGGCTCCCACGACATCCAGCGCTCGAACACCTGCCGGGTGCCGGGGATGTTGCCCAGGGTCTCCTCCATGTAGACATACTTGTACCACAGCTTGTCGACGCGGGGCAGGATGGTAACGGCGCGGTCCAGCAGGTTGCGCGCATGGTTGATGTTGCGGTTGCGCATTTCGGATTCGATGTACCGGATCCACAGCACCACCGAGGTCGGCTGCACGTCCAGCGCCCGCTCGAAGATCGACCGCGCCCGCCGGAACTCCTTCTGCTCCAGCTCCCACGCCGCGTACCGCATCCAGTTGTTCATGTTGATCCGGTTGCGCCGCACATAGTCCTCGAACTCCTTGCGCTTGCGCCCCTGGTACTCGTGCAGCTCCTCCAGGTCCGCGAACCGCTGCGTCGGCGCCTGCAGCGCCGGCTCCTGCCGGTCGACCGCCTCGCGGAGCAGCTGCTCCGCGGAGATCTGTACCGGCGCCGCGGCCTTGTTCTTGACCCGCGGTGGGCCGCGTGAGGCTTCCATTGTGTCTTAGGGAGGGTGGTGAGGTGGGAAAGAGGGTATAAGGTTGTTGTGTTGTCGGGGGTTGGTGGTTATCGGGCGTTGGACCCCGGCCGGTGTGCGCGAGCCGCTGCTCAGCTGTCAAGTGAGATCACTGGAATTGGGTGAAAGACGGGTTCTGAGAAAGATATGCGTGGACTCTTGTAGGACTGATCTCGACAACGAAGCAGCTCTCCCAGAATCTTCACAGTGTGCCCAAGCAAGCAACACCTGCGCGGTTTGATGATGTCGGGGAGATTGAGACTTGTCCGCCCGACCCAAATTCGGAAGCCCTGCGCTTTTGGTCCATGGCGCTACACGAAGCCCAGCAGCTATGCTGCTTAGTCACTAGGCGGTCAGCGGCGCCTCTGGGCAAAATGTCGGCCATCTCCAAGTTCGGCTCAGTCTATTCATTAATCACAACTCACAGCAGGTTTCATCATGTCGAACGTCGAGGACCTTCTTCGAGACTTTGAGGACGACGACGAGGATCTCCAGGTCGGAGATGGCCTGGATGACGGAAATGGCGATGACGATGACAACATGGTGGTGGACGAGGAGCAGCTCGCTCAGCCAGCGGCGCCCGAGATCACCAATGAGTTCGACGTCGCGCTGTCGACCCAAGACGAACTGACCCGCCTACACAAGGTCCTGCGCGATCACTACTCGATCCGATTCCCCGAGCTCGAGACGCTCGTCACGACGCCGCTTGACTACGCCAAGACGGTGGCGATTCTCCAGAACGGCCCGCTCAACGACATCAAAGCGCTGTCGACTTCCGCCGATAACATGGTCGGCGTGCCGCTGCGGTCCGTCCTGGACGGCCCGTCCTTGATGGTCGTGGCGGTGGAGGGCACGACGACGCGAGGCCGGGAGATGACCGAGTCGGAGCTGAAGGCGGTGCTGGATACGTGCGAGCGGATCTTGAAGCTCGACCGGGAGCGCACCGCGCTGACGGAGAGCATCCAGTCGCGCATGAGCCAGATCGCGCCCAACCTGGCGGCGCTGATCGGCCCGGAGACGGCGGCGCAGTTCCTCAACCAGACGGGTGGTCTACGCGAGCTGGCCAAGATCCCCGCCTGCAACCTCGGGGCGCAGGGCTCGAAGAGAAAGGAAGGATTGGGATTTGCTACGAATCACGGCATCCGGGCCCAGGGCTTCCTCTACAATTCGCCCATCATCTCAGAGATCCCGAACGACCTCAAGCGGCAGGCGATCCGCATCGTGTCGGCCAAGATGGTGCTCGCCACGCGCGCGGACGTCTCGAACTACAGCCCCGACGGCTCCCTCGGCGAGGAGCTCAAGCAGCAGTGCTTCCAGCGGTTGGAGAAGCTGACGGAGCCCGCGCCCAACTCCGGAGCCAAGGCGCTTCCCGCGCCGGACGACAAGCCCTCCCGCAAGCGCGGCGGTCGACGGGCCCGCAAGGCGAAGGAGGCCGTCGCGATGACGGAGCTCCGCAAAGCGCAGAACCGGGTTGCCTTCGGCAAGGAAGAAGCAGAGGTGGGGTATGGCACGGGAGAAGGAACGGTCGGACTGGGAATGCTTGGCCAGCAGAACGACGGCCGCATCCGCGCCACGCAGATCGACCAGAGGACCCGGGCCAAGCTCAGCAAAAACAACAAGGGATGGGGCACGGCGACTCCCGTCAGCGGTACCTCGACCTCTCTACGTGCCTTTGGTGGAGGACCCGGCACCAGCGGCACTGCCAGTGTCCTCCAGGCCAGGGGTCTCCGGGCTTCTGGTATCGGTACCTCCTTGGGTGGATCCGCCGGCACGGCCAGTACCATCGCTTTCACGCCGGTGCAAGGATTGGAGCTGGTTGATCCCAAGGTGCAGGCCGAGTTGAACCGCAAGCGCAAGGCGGAGGAAGACCGGTGGTTCAAGTCCGGAACCTTCACTCAGGTTGGCGGGCAGCAGACTCCTGGCAACTCCTCTTCATCACAAGGCCAGAACGGAGGGTTCAAGGTCCCGGCCATGCCTCCGAAGAAGAAGGTCGACACCGGCGACGGCAAGATGGCGCCGCCTCCACCGCCGCTGAAGCGGTAGAACCTTTTCCGCGACATGGCTTTGGCTTTTTCCTTTATTTGCTTATTTGTGATCACGAGCATTTTACCGGCGTTTCAAAAGACTAGGCAGCCCTGCATGATACCAATCGAAGAAATTCTGTATGATAAAGTCCCATCAAGAAAAAGAAACAAGACTTGGCAGTCTCATCTTCCGAAATCACTTCTTTTTCTTTTTCCTTTTTTATTTCATTCTAGAACCCAACAAAGGAATCTACTGTCCGGACAGTATTCAGTAAGTTACTGATTGGTCGTCGGTTCCAATCCCGTGGCGCAAACCACCGACTGAATACTAGGTAGCCATGGATCCGACGGACGATGGTGAAATTGCCTGGCTTGCCGATTCGCGGAGCAACCAACAAGACAGGGCCCCACACGCTTGGTGGTGGCGCAAGACTAGAAAATTTGTTCGTGACAGTTCAACCGATGGAAACTTGGTGTTTGGAATTTCTTGGGACAGGGATGAAGTTTAAAAATTTTTCTGCAGGAGATGGGAAATGTCGCCATTGCTGGCGGCAAAACGTGCGACTGTCCGCCGCGGGAAAGGGAGATCCCTAGCCCTAACCGGATGTTACTTTTTGACGATGTTTTAAGGACTACAGTGTAGAAGTGCACTACACTATATCAAGCCGTATGATCCTGGGGAATCAAGGGTAACTATAGAATATTAAGCGTGAAACTAGCCGACGATCATATCGGGGAGAACGGGGGGGCGAGGAGGAGGGTCTTGTTCAACTCACGGGGAATTATGTGGACCTTTTTTTTTTCGTGATTGCCGGCTGGAGTTGTCGGCATATTGCGTGCTTTTGGAGGAATCTCTCCCCATGGGAACGGGGGGGCAGTGGGACGGACCATAGGGAACTGGAGCAGAAGGTAGATTTATTTCATGTCTTGTCGTTCTCTTTTTCTTCTTTTCTCCTTCTCCCAATCCAATCCAATCTAATCCAATCCCTTCAAGCGTTCGTTGCATCCTTCCTTTGTCCGTCAGCATCGCGGCAGTCCCATCCCATACACCAAACCACAGGCGATCACCCCGAAGCCAGGGCACTGGGCACCTGAGAACAATGGCCCCCCAAATAGGCAGACCGCTCTATCCCACCTCCGACACCGAGTCCGTGGAAGAAGAAGAGGCACGGGCTCTACTCCCGACAGCAGGGACAGGGAAGCCTCCCCTCCCACTCCCACTCCACCACCACAGCCTCATCACCACCGACTTCGACGCCCTCCGATTCCACGCCGCCGCCGCCCTGCAATTGCGCTTCTCACTACATCAGACAGAAACAGTGGCAGCAGCGCTCCCAACAGACACCCACCTCATCGTCTCCCCCTACAACCAGCCGGGCCACCTCCTCGACCTCCGCACCCTGGACCGCGCGAACCAGCTCCTCGCGCAGGCCCTCACCATCCTGCAGCCCACGCGGCCCGACTACGCCACCGCGCCCTACACCGAGTCCTTCAACTGGGCCTCCGTGTTCGAGCTGTTACGGCAGCTTGCCCTCGACTCTCAGGCCGAAGATGAGGCAACGTCGTGGCCCGCGCAGAGCTTCTACGTCGTCACCTTCCGCTCGCGACTGCGCGCCAACGTCGACGCCGAGCGGCTGCATCTGCTGGATGCGCATTCGCATCAGGAGGCGATGGCCAGCGGGGGGCTGTTGAAGTATTGGTTCGGGAGTAAGGATGCCAGTCATAGAAATCTGGCGACTTGTGAGTTTTTTTCCCCCCCCCCTCTCCTGTGGTGTTGGCATAGCATGTGAGGACTCGTTACGGGAGGGTGAGGCTAATCAAAGTGACGGGGACAGGCATCTGGCGGACTCGGGAGGATGCGCGGCTCGGCGGGTTGGGGCCATGGCATAAGAAGGCTCGCGGCGCGGCGAGGGAGATGTATGAGTCGATTGAGTTCTCGACGTTGCGGTTGACGGTTGGGGAGGGGGTTGCGGGGTGGGAGTTTGGGGAGTGGGTGGATGAGAACTGAAGGGGGAGTCGGTGGAATTGGTTAAAAGAGGATTTGGTGATTCATGGTGTTACTGGTTCCGGGCAGCGGGGTTGTTCTGGATGGGTGGTGCTTTTTGTTAAATGATGCGTTTGAGCGGGTGGGTTTCGAGTCGATAGAGTATTCATAATATACCCGATGCTCAGTCATGTACAGTGCAGTATGGCATTGCGTTGGAAGTGAGAGGTTCCTGTGCGCATACAGATGTATACGGCGTAGGTTAGCGGACTAATTTCATGCGACTTACGGAGTACTTTGGTCGTTGTTGTTCGCACTTATGCACACAACGTCCACTCGTGGCTAAAAGAAGGTGTATTCCCCGCGCCCGCCCCAATCCAGACCCTCCTATTGGAGGAGCAGTCCAGGGACGGCGGCCGAAAAGAGAGATTTTCCACGCGGGATGTGGGGAAAATTGCCCTCGGTTGCGTCGGTTCAGATGATCCGATACGAGAAGACACCAGTCCCGGAGTGATGTTTGGCTTCTGGATGGATGAAAGACCCGGTAGGGCTGCCTTATCGCCCATCAGAATGCGGGGGAAGCTGCACTCGTGCACTGCGATGCCTTCTTATTCATTCGTTCGTCGTGCGTCATGATGGGGACGTGGCGCGGGGCAATCCTCCCTATATAAAGCCCCCTCCAGACCAACGCAAAGGGGACCGCTTGACCCCAGACTGACTGCAGCTGACTATCTACCTGTACAGTCTACCTGTGTGACCCTCAACCACTCAACAACACCACCATGGTCGGAGTCCTCCAGGAAACCATCACCGTCAGCGACGGCCCCCTCACCAGCTCGAACGCCGCCCTCCTGCGGCCGTCCGACCCCAACCTGCCCCTGGAGGAACTCCGGCAGCGCTACGAGGCCGACGGCTACCTCTTCCTAAAGCAGGTGATCCCGCGGGCGGACGTGCTCGAGACCCGGCGCCGGTACTTCGCCTACCTGGCGCCGACGGGGGTGCTGAAGGAAGGGTCGGACCCGGTGGAGGGGATCTTCAACCCGAGCAAGTCGGCGGACGACTTCCCGGGCATCGGGGCGGCCAGCGTCGCGGGCAACGGGCGGCCCGGCGGCGACAGCGCGGCCGAGTTCGTCGACCGCGCCATCGAGGCCCACTACAAGGACTGGTACGTCGACCAGCTCTGCAACCACCCCGCCCTGTACGCCTACGTCGCCAACTTCACCGGCTGGGGCGCCAACACCCTCACCTTCAAGCGCACCCTGCTGCGCAACAATACCCCGGGCACCAAGCCCATCGGCGTGCACTACGATCAGATCTTCATTCGCCACGGGGAGCCCACCAGTGTCACGGCCTGGGTGCCGATCGGCGATGTGAAGATCAACGGCGGAGGGTTGATTTATCTGGAAGATAGTATGTCATCTTCTTTGGCAGGTGGGTGCAACGGGCCTGCTAACTGCTACTCCACTGTGCAAAGGTGATTCGGTGGGCAGAAAGATCGAGGACGACTTCACAGTCAAGGCCAAGCAGGCGGGGCTGTCGGACGAAGAGGCCCGGTCGGCCTTCAACTCGAACATGACCGCCAACGCACTGCTGTCGGATGCGCCGGCCGAGTTCGCCAAGGAACACGGTCGTCGCTGGCTGGTCGCGGCATACGAAGCCGGGGACGTCGTCCTACATAAGCCCCATATGGTACGTTGTTGCCGTCGTCGATGCTTGGTGGGCTCCGCAGGGCATGCTGATCGTCCGGTCTAGATCCACGCCTCGACCGTCAATAATGACCCGGATAATGTCATCCGTCTGGCGACGGATATCCGGTTCTGCGATTCGTCGAAGCCGTACGATAAGGTGGGTGTTCCGGTTGGTTGCTTAGACTAGGGCCTTACTGACAATTCGCAGAGATGGATGAATTTCTATCGGTTCAACGATGGTGTCTAGCGCTGGTTTGCGAGATCCTGAGCCAAAATTGTGGAGGTCGTGTAGTTTCTTAAGTGATGATGCGATGAAATTGTAGACTGCAAGAACGAACGCCTTCTGTAGGCAAATTGGGAATATGGAAGCAACGCAATGAATGTATTCTGTGTCATTCTCCCCATCTAGTCATGCTGCCGAAGCTTCCCTATGTTCCGCTTGCATTCTCATCGTCCCCACCGTCATCATTATCTGGGCAGTGAAAGGTACAGTGACAGATCCTAGCATCAGATATAGTAAGCCTCAACACGATCGCCGACGACGGACAGACAGTCCATAGAAGCTTACTCCTGGTCATCGCAGAACCCTCCGGTCCAGCCTCCGCCTTGTGCAATGCACTAACTGATCAGCCTTATCCTTATCCATGCATCATTCATCCGTTGTTGAGGGTCTAGAACAAACGTACGGTATTCCGACAGGCGAGATTCGCGATCTGAATTCCTCCGGGCGTTTGACATGACTTCTGCGCTGCTGCGAGGGCGACTCCGAGGGCCGTGGATTTGGTGGCGAGGGGCACGGCGGCGGCGAGCACCAGGGAGCAGAGGGTTGAAAATGCAAGTAGCTTCATACTGGCCGTAGAAATGGAGATGGCTGGGATAGATGGGATTATGATCGAAGAAAGAAAGGTCCATGCCAGCAGATAAATTTACCACTACGACGAAGCAAGGCTCGAAGGGGTGTTGCCATTGCATAGATCTACTGTGCGGTACACCCGAAGGCAGTGTCGGGGACATTGGGATGGCTACTAGTAGTATAGTAAGTACTGCAATGATGCTCTCACCTGCAAGTCACCAAATGCAAGAAGAAACAAAAGATATCTTCGACAGAATCTAAGCATCGGATCACATTCACTACATATGACCGATCCGCTGTGAATAAAAATCTCGACAAGAATTAAGTATGGGGTTGTGTGCAGTTCCATCCCCACCGCCGGAGATCCGAAGTGCCAAGTGCACGTTAACTTAACCCTTGCGTTCGGCGAATTGGCGGTGGCAATTTTGGAGCTAAGGTTCAACCCCCCGAACCGCCAATCCCACGGGGCCCAAGATCCGATCCTGATATGTTCACCCGGAGGATTTGGGAATTCGACCTGAAGAGGGCATTGTCAGTGGATGAGGGCGCTACTGTGCAAATTGGACTAGCTCCCCCTCTTTTTCGGCGGACATCAGGCCAATCGCTGGCAATCGCTGGCAATCGCTGGCGGGGGTCGGAGCAGATCGCAGGCTGATCCAGCTGCATGTCCGTCCAAGTTCGGAGGTTTCGGACAACGCAGACATGAGATGAGGGGCGAGTAGTTGGGTGGGGGTTTGTTGTGGAGGGGGAGAGGGTAGTCCAGTAGTCCAGTAAATAGTTACGAGTAAGTTACTACGTAGTTAGGCTCAATGGTAGTGTAGTGTAGGAGGAGTGTACTGTACTGTAGTCTGTAGGTACTCCGTAGTGTAGGTAGATTCGGCGAGACCGGCAATACAGTTACTCCGGACCCAAGTTGGGCTCAGCCCCGCCCAGCACCACCAAACTTATTTCTCTCCCTGATTCCCCTCTTCTCTTACTCCCTCCCTCCCTCCCCCCATTCCTCTTTCTTATCTCTCTTCCCCTTTTTCTATCCCCATCCTTTCAGTAGGTTGTCCTGGACATTCTCTTCATCGTCCATCATCCAACTCCGTGATTGTTGCTAATCCCCCATCCTAGTCTTCCTTACACATCACAATGGCTGCCCCCGCTCAGAAGTTCAAGGTCGCCGACATCGTATGTGTTGCCCCATCAATCATTGACAATCACCTCCTGATAATCTTCTAGTCGTTGGCCGCCTTCGGTCGCCGCGAGATCGAGCTCGCCGAGATTGAGATGCCCGGTCTCATGGCCATCCGCCGCAGATACGCTGAGGACCAGCCCCTCGCCGGTGCCCGCATCGCTGGTTGCTTGCACATGAGTATGTTCCGCTTCGGTGACTTTTTCCCAACCAGCTGCTAACCCTGCCCAGCCATCCAGACTGCCGTCCTCATCGAGACCCTCGTTGCCCTCGGTGCTGAGGTCACCTGGTCCAGCTGCAACATCTTCTCCACTCAGGACCACGCCGCCGCCGCCATTGCCGCCGCCGGTGTCCCTGTGTAAGCTGACACTGAGTTTTCTCCGTCCCGGCGGTCCCCACGCTAACAACCCGCTAGCTTCGCCTGGAAGGGTGAGACCGAGGAGGAGTACAACTGGTGCTTGGAGCAGCAGCTCGTCTCCTTCAAGGATGGCAAGAAGCTCAACCTCATCCTCGACGACGGTGGTGACTTGACCTCCCTCGTCCACGAGAAGTACCCCGAGCAGCTCAAGGACTGCTACGGTCTGTCCGAGGAGACCACCACCGGTGTCCACCACCTGTACCGCATGCTCAAGGAGGGCAAGCTCCTCGTCCCCGCCATCAACGTCAACGACTCCGTCACCAAGTCCAAGTTCGACAACCTGTACGGCTGCCGCGAGTCCCTCGTCGACGGTATCAAGCGTGCCACCGATGTCATGATCGCCGGTAAGGTCGCCGTCGTCGCCGGTTTCGGTGATGTCGGTAAGGGCTGTGCCGATGCTCTCCGCAGCATGGGTGCCCGCGTCATCGTCACTGAGATCGACCCCATCAACGCCCTCCAGGCTGCCGTCCAGGGCTACCAGGTCACCACCATGGAGGAGGCTGCTCCCCAGGGTCAGATCTTCGTCACGACCACCGGCTGCCGTGACATCCTTGTTGGCAAGCACTTCGAGGTTATGCGCAACGACGCCATTGTTTGCAGTAAGTTCTCTGCCTCATTCTCTCTTGAGACGGTGCTAACTGCTCAGACATCGGTCACTTCGACATTGAGATCGACGTCGCCTGGTTGAAGGCCAATGCCAAGTCCGTCCAGAACATCAAGCCCCAGGTCGACCGCTACGAGATGCCCAGCGGCAACCACATCATCCTCCTCGCCGAGGGCCGTCTCGTCAACCTGGGCTGTGCCACCGGCCACTCTTCCTTCGTCATGTCCTGCTCTTTCTCCAACCAGGTCCTTGCCCAGATCGCTCTCTTCAAGGCCGAGGACGTTGCCTTCGGCCAGAAGTACGTCGAGTTCGGCACCACCGGCCGCAAGCCCGTCGGCGTCTACGTCCTGCCCAAGGTTCTGGACGAGCAGGTCGCTCTCCTCCACTTGGAGCACGTCAACGGCAAGCTCTCCAAGCTCACCCCCGTCCAGGCCGAGTACCTTGGTCTGGAGGTCACCGGTCCCTTCAAGGCCGACCACTACCGCTACTAAGCGTTTTCCTTGATTTGTGTCCACCGCATACACACCTGTTCGGCATTGATTTCGGTATACCCTGAACGGCTAGAGTTTTTCAACATGGTCACGATGTTACGAAACAAATAAAAGGGGTCTTTTTTTAACAATGGGGCTCAAAAGCATTGTCTTCAACGGCAAGAATAAAAGTGGCATGGGGGTTTGATTGGGTTGTTTTATACCATAAAGATAAATAATATGAGTTTGTTTGCATGCATGCAGTGACTGTGATCGGGTTGTGCGCCTAGCATCACCGTACGTGCCCACTTCTAGTACTCTTGACTCTTGAGACAGAGAGCAGTGAGCCCAACTTTCAACCACAAGTCCTATAAAGTCCCATGCATCATTCTCTACAAGACCGTCAGTGAGATCCTATCGATGAGTGGGGCCCTTTTGGGGGCTGCTTGTGTTCGGTGGAAGGGACGGAAACAGGATTACTGAGTAAATCTGGTATAAGAGAGACTCAGGGGTTGCTTGAGAATCTTGTTAATATTTTGTCTCATTCACACTTATGTCTGAGTTGGGAGGTAGCAATGTGCTAGATTACATAATGCGATTCATAACCCGTCATCCAGCCAAGTTCCTGATCCGAGCCCGCAATGAACTTACCTAAGTATGTACAGGCTTGCATCTCGACCTACCACTCAGACACTAAACAACCACAGCAACGAACCCAACACCATAAAAACCCTACTGTATCCCCACTCCCTACCATCCATACTTCACCCCCATCCAATGACCATCAGAACCTCTACCTCTACCTCCCTTCTCTTCACTCATCCCCCCTCATTATTTCCCTTCCGGGGAGACAAAAGAACAAGCCCCCCCCTGCAAACCTACCACCTCCTCAACCCAACCATCACCACCACCCGCAAGAGCCGTATCCGACGGCCGACAAGGACTGGCGCCGCGTGCGCCGCTGCCACCACCACCCGGGTCTCCTGCAGGAGTTCCTTCGGCGCCTGGCGGGCCGGAAATGCTGGGCCACGCTGGGGTCCAAGACGCGGGAGGTGGTTTTTAGGTGTGCCCACCCTTCTTTTTTTTGGGGGGGGGGGAGGGCAGTTTGGAGGGCAGTGCGAACTTGGGTTTCTGTCGGTGAACAGCGGCGTGCTGTGGGATGAGGTGCGGGATGGCATTGGGCGGTATAAAAATCGGCTTGAGGTGCGGGTGTTGGGGTTTGGTGGTCGGGCCCTAGGTAGGTACGGAGGAGGACGGGGAGGAGGGTCCGAGAGGCATCTTATGGGGGCAGGGGAGGGGCAGTCGAAGGGGTCTTCTTGAAGTGGACATTTTTGTATCTTGTTTCTTTTCTTGGGGTTGGTGCGATTGGACTGGACATCTCGGTACCTAATCGCTTTTCTCTTGATTCCCGGGGTTCATGATTGTACAGTACTTGGCGCATAGCGTATATTTGTCTACTTCTGTTGAGGTACAGTATACTTGGGATTGAAAAGGGTGAGAGCACAGGGGTACCGACAGGAAAGCATACAAGATAATCCAAGCCTGCTCATGTCAGATAGACTCCGCCAACATCTAGATGTCTCGCAGCCTACGGCTCAGCTAGCTCGGTACACTCATTGATGTTGTTACGGTTACTGGGATAAAGATGAGGCAGGCTGGGGATCACGCCGTCCGACACTCAAACCACCACGCGAAACTTGAACAAGTCTCTTTGGAGAACGTCCTGCTGCTTCTGCTCCAGCTCCTCCATGTCCCAGCTCACCGAGGCGAATCGGCCGGCCAGCCAGTCGCGCCGCTCGCGGGCGAGCCAGACCAGCGTGTCCGCGGCCAGCTCCGGGGTGTCGGTCAGGACGGATTGCCGCTCCGGGGGCATGTTCATGGCCAGCTCGGTCTTGACGGCGCCCGGATGGAGCGCGATGGCGATCAGCCCCTGCCGGTGGTATTCTGTGTCCATGAACTCGGTGAGGCGGCAGAGGGCGAACTTGGTGGTCTGGTAGGCCGACGCCCCCGGAAACATGACATGGGCCCCCCCGCTGCTGATGTTGATGACCGTCTTCGTCGGCGACCGGAGCAGCAGCGGAACGAAGAAGTGGGCGGCGAGATAGGTGCCCTTGATGTTGACCTCCCAGGTCCGCCACCACTCGCTCGGCTCCGAGTCGGCCAGGGGCTTCCACTCCTCCAGGTAGCCCGCGTTGTTGATCAGGACATCGAGCCCGCCGCCGCCGAGCCACTCGGCCGCGGTCGAGGCGGCCGCGCGCACCGAGTCTTCCGAGGTCACGTCTGCCTTCAGGGACCGCACGAATGGCCGGGGCCGGTGGGCCTTCATGGCCGCGTGGTGGACGGCCGTCTCCATCTCGCTCAGGTCCGACCGCGCGAGCAGCAGGATCGTCGAGCAGCCCGCCATGGCAAAGCGGATCGCGGCCGCCTTGCCGATGCCCTTGGAGGCCCCCGTGATCAGGACCGACTTGCCCGCCAGGTCGGCGTGAGCCGGATCGATGAACGGGTACGTGTCCTTGCGCGTCGAGACATAGCTAGCCACCGCAGGCCAGTTTGCCAGGGAGGGATCTTGGGCCGACATGGTCGTTCTCCAAAGGAACCCGCAGTTGTAGGTAGAGCCGGGGGTAAGAGGATGAGGTGAGAGAGCTGCTGCGCTTGGAAGCTGCGTTTGCCGGGTGGGTACTAGGTAGGTAGTTATCCCCCTCGTATGGATCGAAGACCAAGAAGCCTCAATTAGTAATAGTAAGTCATTCGTCCATGATGCCATTCCTCAGACGGAGATTGCGTTCTTAAACGCCGTCGTGGTCTCTCTGGTCCGTTAACTCCGCGGCCAGAAATTCCGAATATAGATTTTTAGACGGAGGGGTGTAAGAGCAAGCCATTAAAAAACACCAACTGTCGTCGTGTGTACTGAGTGTGATGATTTCTTGCATATATAATATAAATATAGCCTAAAGTCGTAAACTATAAAAGCTAGACATAGTAGAAGTTACTTCTATCAGAATTATACTCGGTAAAATTAAACACAGTAACTACTGTGTACAGTGAGATTAGGCCTTGCTTAGAAATCCTTCAAAGGTCGTTGTTTATCAAAGGACAAGTACTGCTGGGCTATTCCCGAGCAGTATAACGTATAATATTTTATTTTTCCAAGTCAACACATCAATTCCAACCCGGAGGATTCGTGCGGTTCAATGACTTTTTCTACACGGCTCTGTACTTTGATCATGGTTTCATTATTGAAAAGACTCCTGCGTTGCTCCTGCCCCAGCTGACTAAACGTGGGACGCGACCTCAGAGCATGTCCTATTTAATACGATTTCTCTATAGCATTACAGGAACACTGATATTTCTTCTCAGTGGGCAACTGGAGCAGCCTCTCACAGCCCTTCCAGTTCCATTTCCATGTTTGATCCACATCATGAAGGCAGGCAGGTACCAGGCCAGTGGTTACATAGATAGACTAATCAGGATCAGGACTCTTGCTGGGGAACGGACTATCTTCATCAACAGTCATTATCTCTCTATAAATTAGTCCAATAGGACTCTGTCACCCTTGATTGGGCCCCTTATCGCATCACAAAGCTAGAGCTTTGTGAATCAGCTGAATGACCTTTCCGGGGTACTCCAGGCCCAACTCATTCCAATGACCATCATCCTTGACAGCGCTAAGAAGGATTTCGAATCAGTCAGCGTCTTTCCTGAAGATATGCACTTGTGACCATCAGACTTACACTTTCCCACGTGGTAGCCAAAAAAGCTGAGCTGCTCTGCCGGACACTTCGCATTGGGGCGCACTGGGTCGGAGTTCTGGGCTGGGGATCTCTACGGTCTCCGCGATGACGGGGGATGCGATGTCACCTGCCGCGCACTGCTGACACTGGGCAAAGATCTTTTCCATGGTCGGCATGTCGCTCCAAGGGATACTGACCCAAAGGCAGGCTTCAGAATCAAATGGTGGGCGGGGGGCCTCCATGTCGGCTCGCTGAGCCGACTTTTCCCCAAGACTTGACACTTGTTTCTCCAAAGCCTCGACTCTCTCCACTATCGACATGGAATATAGGCTATCGAGCTTGCCTTCGAGGTTGTTCAATGCGTTCAGTACCTGAGTGTGATCCTTCGTCTCATGCATCTTAGACTCGAGTGATCCAAGACGGCATTCGAAGATCGAGCCGACACGCTGGCAAAGGTTGTTGGCAAAGTCATCTTGGATTCTTCGGTCCAGAGTAGAGGCAAGTTCTTGCAGCCGCTCTTGATTTGAGCTCGTGCTGTCCTGGATTCCCAACAGGATTGGCAGTATCTTCGCTTCGTGGCAAGCTTTTTCATCCGGCACTGCCGATCGCTCGAGGCTTTCGTTCATACACTGAAGACTCGAGGTCGCAAACGCCGATGACGCCTCATTGGCCTGGGCTGGAAGTCCGGCCTTGTCCTCAACTATTGAAATCTGTCGATTGCTGAGGGTCTCGGCGATCTGCTGCAGGTGGGCGATCTGTGCTCCAAGTAGATTGAGGTTGCTTGCAAGCAAACTGGCCATTTCCTTGTCTTGCGCAAGGCCCGCCTTCTCTTCGGTCAACCTTTGGACTCTTTGCCTTGCATTTCGCAATTCTTCGTCTAAGCTATCTTTCTGTTGCTGAAGTTCTGCGCTTTTTTCTCTCTCCGCACTGGCTGCATTCGTCGCCGAGGTTTCCCATTCCTCAACGTCGGCGATTCTCTTTTGTAGATCGTCATTCTTGGAAAGCAAGTCATCATGTTCGGCACTCAGGGCGTCATGTCTGGACCTCAGGTCGTTATGTTTGGCCACCTGGTCTTGCAGAAGCACTGCCTCCGCTTGCAGCCTTTTCCTTTCCGTCTCTGCCTCCGTCAAGGCCATTTCCACATTCTTCAAGTTCTTCAAGTTGGCCCGAAGTTCTCTGGTCTGATCCCAAGGCTTTTATTCTTTTCTCGAAGTGCTCGGAGTTCCAGCGCGGTCGAATTCTTGGAATCGGCCAGCTGTGCTTGGAGCTGCAGGTTCTTTCCCCGCTCCACTTCCAGCTCCCGTTGCAGGGAAGCAATCTTCTGCCTATCATCGCGCATCGAAGCCTGCATGTCATCCCAGATGAACGGGAGATATCTTACCATGCCGTCGAAACTAGGTCCTTCCATCCTGGTCTGCAACCCCTCGCCACGATGCCCGTCCTGCTCGCTGGGTTGCGAACGCTGAGGCGGGTTGCTTCGACTGCCATTTTCCGAGGAGTGCGCCTGGTGGTGTTCTTGTAGACTGGAAACACGACGCCTAAAGGAGAGTCGGGTCTGGGATAGAGTGGTCTTTGTAAGTGATGGTGGGGATGGTCGGGGGATCCGGCGCAGCAGTTGGGGATTGGACGGGAGCGAGTCAGAAGAGTCTTGAGAGTATCCCGACTGACTGCTTCGAAGTGACGCTTTTGACTCGGACATTATCTGCGACAAGAAATGGGGGCTAAGCTCGATGCTCCGGAATATGGTTTTCCAGATGCTATGCGAGGAAATGGAGTTACCGAGGGTATTGATATATCGAGCGTGTATTGTAGGCAGAGAACAACTCATCCCCGCACAATTTCGACCTTCTCCCCAAGATCACACGTCAATGCTTCCTGCAAAGCCTTGTTAGAACGGTTGGAGAACAGTAGTGCAGTCCGGTATGCGTGTAAGCCTTGATTGCTCACCTGGTTCACCGGGTCGTGGACCTAATTCGTTCCAATTGATTGTTTCCCCCCCCCCCCGGTCGGTGGCTTGCATGTACCCTGGAAGCCCTGACAATTGTCAGCACCCGTTTGCATCGGAGGGCCAGTGGGAGGCCATGTGGACTAGAGGATGGGCAAGACAGAACTCTGAGGGTGGAGCCACGTCAATCCGACGTCGGTCTCCGGGGCAAGACGAAGTATAATGATGGTGAGCAAATGTGGGGGGAAGTGGCGGTTGTGGAGAGCGCCCTCGGTCACGGCGACGCGTCCACTCGTCCACTCAACAGGCCGACTCCCAACATGCCAGTCTAATCTTGTGTAGGCATCATCCCAAGGCTGGTTCACCGGTGATTCATCTCCATTCATCTCGTAGGTGGCGCTTTCTCTGTCAGACAACTAGCCTAGCTAGATCGAACAGTGAGCGTGCTTCTAGATGGCACGGGAACTCTGTACTGCTCAGTGGGACAAACAACGGGTCAGAGCGTCTTGCCTATGAGCTACCTAAGTTAACTAGGTACAAGCCCACATCAATCTCAACTTCTGGAGATCGCGCAGCCGATACTTAGACCAGCTTTGACTTTGGTTGTTTACCATACGCAGCCTTGATCTCGACACTGCACAGCAGACTATATCACGGAATAAGGATGCGGCGTATACTGGCTGCCGTCACGGCGCTTCGACAGATAGAGATGTCGCACCAGATCCCGATGACTGCGGTGCTGTGCTTGATGCCGGAGGGGTCGATATTGGGTCGAGCAGGAATCGTGGAGACGGTAGCCTACCAAGTAGTATTATGAGCAACGTGGAGAAGGGGTTTGTCCGACGCCAAAAGAGCCCTCCCGACGTCGTCCTAGGGGCTTCCGGCCCGTTCGAAATGTTTTCAAGGCTATGTGTGCTGTATCGATCTTCCAGCTCACAATGCATCGATGGCGATGGCGGGGGCGGCGGCACTCACGATCTTAGGTGAGATCTGTATCCGTCGACAAAAACATGGTTGGCAGCGAGGTAGAGGTTGATTGTGGGGTCTGCACAGACGGAGAAGCTCTAACTAGGATCACTTAGGTTGAAATTGAGAATATAGGTAGTAGTCAAGAGCATGACAAACAGATGCGGCAAAAAATACTTTATCGAATATCAGGTTGGCAAAACCTTTGATAGGATAAACTCTTGGGCGCTGCCGGTACCCAAAAAGGAAAATCCCGTGGGTAACACAACACCCATTGTTATGTCAGCTATAAAGGCAACATACAGGCATGCGAAGTCATGGCCATGCCCGATGGAACCATGATATACTCCCCATGTGGCCCTGTTGGACAGGAAAAGATGAAAATCATAGTTTCTTGAATGTGTTGAGCCCTACTTCCAACCTCGCAGGTCTAACCTCTGCAGGTGTCCTAGACGGACAGAAGCAGCTGGGCGACCACTTCTTTCTCTCATGATGAACCACCCCAGCATTGACAGTCGCCGACCCTCGAGCCGACGACGACCATTTTGCCGTCAAACAGCCACCCCGCTGTCCTTTTTGTGGCCGACGGACCAAATGGGAGGAATGACGAAAGCGGGAAACAGAAATGGGAATGCTCTGCGCCCTGGATATCACGCCTGTTGTTTGTGTGGGTAAATTTGTCTGCTTCGGGGATATGCGAAGAACTGGAACTGGATTCCACAGGAATCGTGTTCGGTTCGGTATCTATTCAGTGGGTTGGAGAGAGAAGATACTGGTATACTTCTTCTAGCCAGAATGAGTCAAGAATAACTTAATTTGCTTGACAGTCGATCATGAATATATTGCCCATCAGCTGGATCATCGACATGCCCATGCCCATGCCCATAGCACTACAGCTGTCATTTGCACCTCCAGGCCTGCTGCTTACATACAAAACGACAACCCCCGAAAACACTCCCCGACTACAAGATCAAACCAACCGACAACCCATCACCCTCCCCAACCCCTCCACCAACCCCCTCGCGAACGCCGGATCATTGATCTCCTCCTCCCGCCTGACCACCTCCACCCCAGACCCCTTCAACCCCTCCTCCACCGTGCGAAACAGCACCCCATCCGCCTCCGGATCCCAATACACGCCCCCCTCCACATCCAACATACTCAACCCGCGCGTCGGCAGCACGACCACCACCTTCTCCGGCACCTTGGCCCTCCTCAACTTCCCCACCATAAACGCCCCCACCTCCTCATTCTCTGCAGGGGACGTCCGCACCAGCGTAACCGTAGGATTATGCTCCCAGATCCGCCTTCCCCGAAACCGCTCCGGCACCGTCCCCGGCGGGCCATAGTTGACCATATCGCAGGCGCCCACACTGACCACCTGCGGAATGCCCGCTGCCGCCGCGGCGTCCAACCGCTCCGGTCCAGCGGAGAGCACCCCGCCGACCAGCTCATCGACCACCTCGGAAGTGGTCAGATCGATCACGGCGTCCAGCCCGCCTTCGCGGACCAACCGCTCCATGGCTTTCCCGCCGGCGCCCGTGGCGTGGAAGATGAATACTTCCGTGGCGGTGGGGGAGGCGGCCAGCAGGGATTGGATCGCGGTGACGCAGGGGGTGGTCACGCCGAACATGGTGATCCCGATGCGTTTGGGCGGGGCGGCCCGTTGGAGTTCTGGGGCGGCGGCTGGGTTGTCTTGGGGGTGCCGGTGGTGGTGGTGGTGCTGCTGCTGCTGCTGCTGCTCGCGCCGGAACTGCACGGCGGCCATCGCGGCGGCGGCCGCCGCAGCGTTGTCCAGAATCCTGGTGAGGATCGAATTGGTGCCGGCGATGTCGACGACGCTGTACATCATGGTCAGGTCGGTTTCCTCGACGTAGGGCCCGATGTCCCCGCTGGCCATGGTGGAGACCATCACCTTCGGGAAGCCGAGGGGGCAGGCGGCGCGCATTGCCGCTGTCGCGACGGTGGTGCCGCAGCTGCCGCCGAGGGCGAGGATGCCGTGCAGCTGGTTGAGGGTGCGTAGGTGGGCGATGGTGCGCCGGGTGCGCGCGGTGGCGGCTTCGAGGTAGGATTGGCGCGGCAGCGAGGCCCAGTCTTTGGGTTCGTGGTCGTCGTTCTTGATGTCGATGTCGCACGGGGAGGGGAGGGAGGGGTGGGGGATGGTGATTTCCTCATGATGAGAAGGCTCGCGCCCGATGTCGAGGAGGATCACGGATGGGCTGGGGTGGACGGGGGATGAGAGCAGTTGCTGGCGCGTGTGTTGCAGTTCCGCCCATTTGGTGTCGCATGTGCCGATTAGGAGGATGGTGGGGTGGTCTGTCATTTTGCTTGGATTTCTTGTGCTGATTGATGAAGTTATGAGCGCATGATCATTGCACAAATGGTGGTGGTTGTTGTTGTGTCTGATTAAATAAGATGTTCGGATGAGGGCTGAGGTGGGGTGGAGGAATGATGCATGAAGAGGAGGATATGCACGATGATGTTGTTTGCCCCTCCTCTCCTCTCGACTCCTCTTTTATTCATCCTCTACCCCTCCCAATCTCTTTCAACCCCCGTTTGTCTGCAAACCAATTTCCCTCGCTCAAACGAAAGTCCAACAAAATGCGCCCAACAAACCGACAAGAAGTGCTCGCGCGTTTGCGCAAGACCATCGCCGATGGCTCCATCATTGTCGGAGCCGGAGCTGGTACCCCCCCATTGACACTCCGCATCCAAACAGCGACTAATCCCCCGTCAAACAGGAATCGGGCTCTCCGCCAAATTCATCGAAAAAGGCGGCGCCGACCTCATCCTGGTCTACAACTCGGGCCGCTTCCGCATGGCCGGCCGGGGCTCTCTGGCGGGCATGATGCCCTACTCCGATGCCAACGCGGTGGTGGTTGACATGGTAGGTCGCCCGCCCGCCTTGCCTTGCCTACCCCCTTTCCCACCAGAAAAATAACAATGCACCAGGCCTCCGAAGTCCTCCCCATCGTGGAAAACACCCCCGTGCTCGCCGGGGTGTGCGGCACCGACCCCTTCCGCGACATGCGGCCCTTCCTGCAGCAGCTGCGCTCGCTGGGCTTCGTCGGGGTCCAGAACTTCCCGACGGTCGGGCTGATCGACGGCAAGTTCCGGGCCAACCTCGAGGAGACGGGGATGGGGTACGAGCGCGAGGTCGAGATGATCCGGCTGGCGCACGAGCTGGACCTGGTGACGACGCCGTACGTGTTTACCGTCGACGAGGGCGAGCGCATGGCGCGCGCGGGCGCCGACGTGATCGTCGTGCATCTGGGGCTCACGACTTCCGGGACGATCGGGGCGCAGACCAGTCTATCGTTGGATGAGAGTGTGGCCGTCATTCAGGAGGTGAGGGATGCAGTGACCAAAATCAACGAGGAGGTCATTGTGCTGTGTCATGGGGGGCCGGTGGCCAGCCCGGAGGATGCGCAGTATGTTTTGTCGAGGGTGAAAGGCGTGCATGGGTTCTTTGGGGCGAGTAGTATGGAGCGGTTGCCGGTGGAGAGGGCGATCGAGGAGAATGCGAGGAGGTTCAAGGGGGTTAAACTGGGTTGAGTTTACTGTGTACACTGGTGGATAGGCTTGTTGTTGTTGTTGAGTGGATTTATTGTAACTAAATTGAGGTATGGATGGATGGATGGATGGATGGATGGAGACGTGCCGCCGGAGTGTGCCCGATTGGGGAATTTCCCGGTGTATACATAGTACTCAGCGAGTCGCGACGCAAGTGGAGATCTCAAGCTTCCAGCTGATCAACAATAATTATCCGGGGGGAAGTATATCAATTGCTGTCGACAGACACAGTCTTGACTTTCTCCCGAGTCCCCTGCACCTCCCTCCCGTTACACATTACGACAGCACCCAAAATGTCTGGCATTCTCGCAGGCAAACTCGCCATCATCACCGGCGGATCGCGGGGTAGGCAGGCACCTACATCAATAACGGCACACGCAACCAACTAACCCGGACACAGGCATCGGCGAAGCGATCGCGCACAACCTCGCGCGCAAAGGCTGCTCCCTGCTCCTCAACTACACCTCGGACTCGTCGCGGGCGCGCACCGAGTCCCTCTGCACGCAGCTGGCGCGCGAGCACTCGATCCGCTGCGTGCCCGTGCAAGCCGACCTGTCCGACCCGGCGCCGGCCATCGAGCGCATCCTCAGCGTCGCCAAGGCCGAATTCTCCTCTTCTACGCAGCAGCAACTGACGATCGACATTCTCATCAACAACGCCGGCGTCAGCAAGGACCGCTTCCTCAACGACGCGACCAAAGGCGCCATCGACGCCGACTACTTCAACTGGCACTACACGATCAACGTCCTCGCTCCGCTCCTCCTCACCCAGGCCATCGCCCCCTACCTGCCCCGCTCCCCCCCACGCAGCGGCCGCATCGTCAACATCTCCTCCATCTCGTCGGCGCTGGGGTTCACCGGCCAGAGCGTGTACGGCGGCACCAAGGCGGCGCTGGAGGCCATGACGCGCACGTGGGCGCGCGAGCTGGCCGACGTCGCGACCGTCAACGCCGTCAACCCCGGCCCCGTCATCGGGGACATGTACTTCGCCACGGGCGAGGCGTTCTGGCAGCAGATGCAGGGGTTCCAGGATAACACGCCGGGGAGCAAGATGGTCGAGGACGATCCGCTGGTGGGCCAGTTGACGGAGGAGCAGAAGCAACTCATCAAGGAGAAAATGGGCGGCCGGCGGCCGGGGTTCACGGCCGAGGTGGCCGGCGTGGTGGGGATGTTGTGCTCCGAGGATGCGGGGTGGTGTACGGGGAGTGTGGTGTGTGCGAATGGGGGGTTGCGGTTTACTACTTGAAGAATTTACATGAAAGATAGAGTCAATTGATTTACATAACTTACATAGAAGGATGTTTTGAGTTGTTGTTTTCTGTGGACATAGTAGAGAGTAGACAGGCACGTGAGAGCTCCCCCCCGGAGGTTATGTCATGTCACATGTTACATGTCATCATCATTCCTTCGTCTGGACTCTGGAATCATCCTCAACGTTGCTTAATCTAATCACTGAACTCAATTCCATCCACCAATTCTCCATCCACCGATTCAATAAACCAGCAACCAGCAATAAATCTCTCCTCACTCCAGCAGACAGAAAAGGAACCATGTCCACCCGCAGCCTGACTCTCACCAAGCTCCCCCCGCGCTCCTCCTCCCTCCACCACCTCTCTCAATCCCGCCCATCCTTCCTCCGTCTCCGGCCGCTGTCAACAGCAACAGCAACAATCCCCCTACGACTCACCCATCCCCCAAGAACCCAAAAGCCCACCCTCCCCATCCGCCTCCTCCCTCGCGCCCACCCAACCCCCCAAGGCAGAAGACCCTACACAACCGGCAAATCCACCAGCGACATCATCGTCGAAGAGCTGCAGGATCTGTACGCCCCCGCCCCCTGCCCCAATTTCCCCCAGCCCAACCCATATCCCCCCCCCAAAAACCCGACTAATAAGCGAAGCTACGAGACAGCAAAAGACGAATTCGAAATCGCCACCGAAAGCACGGATGCGGCCACGATCTACGCGGCCTCGGACCGGGAGGCGGCGCGCGACGCGCTGAACGAGCTGCTGGCGGTGTACACGCTGTACACGCGGGACGTGTCGCTGCTGGACGCGGCGGGGCGGTCCGGGGTGGAGAAGCTGCTGGGCGCGGAGGGCGGGGAGGAGGTGCGGATCGACACCGGGTTGAATCCGCAGGGGATTGAGGATGAGGTGCGGCAGGAGGTGCGGCGGAGGGTTGGGCAGCGGGTGCGGGAGTTGAAGGCGGCGGTTGAGGGGTTGGAGGAGAGGGCGGGGGAGGAATAAATATATCAGGAAAGGTTACTAGTTATACTATGATGCTATGGGTTGATTGTTATGGGGTACGGGGGTGGATTTCATCAACGTTTTTCCTATATCCATTCTAGAATACATCCTGAACGTTCAGAAGTTCAACCTTCAATGTATATACTGTGGGGTATCGTATCAATATTCTGTAAAAATTTGGGAATTGTTTCCGAAGAAGTAGGTCACGCCACCTCGGCCAGCGTCAGGCCGAATTGATCGGTCAATGGCGAGGGCGAGGGCATCGTCATGCTGCTGCTGCTGCTGCTGTCTTTGTGGGTGCTTTTGAGGTGTCGTTTCAATTGATCTATCGCCCGTCAGTCTCTCAATCAAGCCCAAGCATTCTGCGGCATCTGCATCGACCACCCACCATGTCGAGTGAAGCTCTTCGTACACCCCGGGTAATGGCATTTATGTCGTCGTTCCCCGTGTGCTGGATCCGTCAGTATATTTCTTCGCCCCCCAAACACAAGGCGGGGACCTACTCAGGCGGTGACTGGACATGTTGGACGACTGCACTCCGTCAGTTTCTATCTCCTTATCAATCAATCAACCAAGGTGTGCTTACATCGCCCGTCTGGAAGTTACACCCCGGATACGTGCACTTGAACGGCTTCTCGCCCGTATGAGTCCGCGAATGCGTTTCTATGCACCCAAGTTAGTCATCCATCGGCTAAGAGGCATCCGACGACATACTCAGTTCGCTGCTGTCGGTAAACGACTTGCCGCACTCGGCGCATTTGTACGGCTTCTCTCCGCGGTGGCTGCGCTCGTGCCGTTCCAACGTCGCCTGCCGCGCAAAGAACTTGCCGCAGACCGAACACTTGAAGTTTTTGTCTACCCCAAGTCAGCAAAGTCGGCAAAGTCAGCAATGAGTTATGCAGACACGGTCAAACGTACAGTTGCTGTGCGTCAGAAAGTGCCCCTGCAGCTTCGACTTCTGCGAAAACGGCTCGTCCGGCCGATGGCACCCCTCCCAGCAACAGTAATACCCCGTCCCCTTGGCCCCCTCCACGGTGGCCATGTGGCTGCCGACGAGATGCTCCTGCAGACCGCACGAGTCCGAGAAGGTGGCGCCGCACGGCTTCTTGACCCCGTCCACCGTCGTGGTCCATCGACACACGTGGGCCTCCTCCGGGATGTACTCCGGGCTGGTCAGCACGGACGACGAGCCTCCGTCCAGCGGAGGCGGCGTGTCCCCCGGACTCAGCTGCGAGCTCACGCTGGACCGCGACTGGCGGGAGTACGGGGAGTAGGGGGAGTAATGGTGGTGCGCGTGGCTGTGCGTCCGGCACCGGTGAACGTGCGTCCGGCACGGTTTGCGGTGCGTCGTGGGATTGGGAATAGGCGGTTCTTGCGTGGTGTTTGGATCGGTCATCTCGGGCGTCTCGGGCGCCTGGTGGGTGTGGAAGTGGGGGATGTGACTGTGGCCGTGGGAATGGTTCGGGTTCGGGTTGATGTGGAAGCAGGTGAATGAATTCGAGGTCGAATCGTCCCCGGGCTTGGGATGCTCACTGCAGTCCGGCACCTGCTGCACATGATACTGGTGATGGCAGGCCGTCAGGTCCGGACACACCCCCATCATGTGGAAGACATCCGCCGGGTTGACCGAGGTGGGCATCGGATACCAGGCGTGGTGCGCATCCTTGGAGAGATCGTGGCACTGGAAATGCTGGTGGCTGTGAGCGTGACAGTGTGACACCGGGACAGGCGCGAAGGGAGCGAAGAAGGCATCTGTGGAACCCACGAGCCCGGGAACCCCAGGGAGCCCGACGCTCTTGGGCTGCTCGCCCGGCACCGGGGGCAGCGCGGTCGGCGACAGGAGGTCGCTTGACTCGAGGTCCAGCGGCGAGCCCAAAGCTAATAACGCCTCGAGGCTGTGCTCGCCGTCGGCGTGGGTGCCACTGCCGAAGCAGTGCTCGTCGAAGCACACCGGGTCCGTGCTGTCGCAATGGGTATCATTGCAGTGAGCGTCGTCGCAATGTGATACAGAGCACACGGCGGCCTCGTCGCAGTCGACGAACCCGTCGCAGACCGACGGGCAGGTGACGGAGCAATTGTCCATGTCACAGCAATCCTCGTCGACGGGGCAGTCCTCCCCGACCTCACAGTGGGGGAGCGCTTGGTGCTCTTCCTCGGAACAATTCCACTGAGGCCCTGGAGCCTCCGCCCCGGTAGGCTCCTCCGGGTCTTTTGCATCCAGATGGAATGCCTCCCAGTGGCACTCCAGGCAGAAATCGTCCTTCTTCGTGTGCGAGGCCATGGTGTCGTGTGAAGGGAAGGTCATGGATGGTAACTCCGTGCAAGGAAGCAGAGCGATCTATGCCTTGAAGGAGTCGATCAAGTCACGGTCTTACGGAATCCTCCGCCCTGACGACCGATAGGAGCGGGGACTTGGGGGAAATAGACTGATGGTCTGTTCTGAGGACTATTTGGGTTTGTTCGGTCACCAACTGCAGGTGTGGCAAGTCAGCCCAGTTCTCGTCGCCCCTCCACCACGCGAGCGGACACGACAGGTCACATACCAATTAGAACAGCAGAATCTGCAATGGATCGTCCAGCGGTAGCTTAAAACCCTGTAGTGCGACAGAGACTATGGGCAAGAGTCACCAAGAGGCGTGGAGAGAAAAGACAGACCGCCTGGAGTGAGCGGGCAAAAGAGCCTGAGGACCTTGGGGGCCAGCATGAGGACGCATGTAGGGAACCGATGTGGGATTTAGCAGTCCATCGAGTCCAGGAGATCAAGGGTACTGAGTACTGAGTACGGAGTACTGAGTACCAATTCTTCAGGGAACTTTCGGGGGAGGAGTTAAGTGTACCTAGTAGGGAGTAGGGGGAGTAGGGGGAGGAGGGCGAATAGGGCAGGTATTTTCGGTACCGATACGGTCGCAATACGGGAGGAACCAAGGGAAGAAGATCTAATCGGAGGGGAAAAAAATGAGGACCTTGTGGACGAGGGGTCGAGCAACGAGGACCTTGGGAGATGGCGTCATGTCTGGCCGGTTAGCCAATCGTGCCCCCAGTGATTGTCAGAGTTCACGTTTGGTGTTTCGTTAGACGACTTGAAGTTCGGGATAAATGTGACGGATTTATTTTCAATGATTTCATAGTTTGATTCACCTGCGTTCGAATGATGGAAAGCAGCAGGAGAGGTAATCTGTCCGAGTCTGTGAAGGATGTCCATTCATCCATCCACTGAGACTTCGCAGGGCGGTCCAGACTCCGGGCGGGAAATCTCTGGGATTGGATTCTGCCCGCCGAATTTCTGCCGCCTTGGAGATGGATGCCTGAGGTCTGTGACAACATCCTCAATAACTTAGCATTTGCAACTCTCGACAACAATGACCACAGTATACCGTGTTACTATTATCTAAATCAATCAACCGGCCACACTGAAAAGTGATACTCCGGAGAGATCTAGCTGAAGATATTGACATCCTAGACAAGGCCTAACATTGGCTAGCCCACTAACCACCCATCACTATCCACTAACTACATATCCTACTATACAACCGTTATCAACAGAGAAATCCCACCAACGACAGCGCCATCAGCAATTTACCACGGGCACCCCCTTAGTCAACCCAAGTAAGGCTCCTTCCGAGTCTCCGACCGTTGAGTTAGCGGCTCCCGCACGTGCCGACGGCTGCCTACGGGCTACGGACGACGGGCATCGGGCCCTGCACCGCACCCCAGGCATCTCCAATTCCGACCCCATCGAACGGACCCTGCATCCCACGTATTACTCTATCTACACCAGCCACATCCATTCAGCAACACCCCGCAGCTACCCCGTTCCACTTCAAATCCTATAGCAGTACCGTTCAACACAGCTCGAAGCGTACCTGATTTCCTCCGCCTCCGCAAACACGCAAGCAAATAACACACCACCCATCTCACCCCCGCACGACACCTCGGACCCCGTAGCCGCTTCCCCTACACTTACCTCCACCTACCTCCACCTCCACCTCCACCTCTTACCTACGCCGACACCAAAAAATATGGGCAACATCTGCTCGAAATCCTCCAACTCGCCCGACGCCTTCGCCCGACCAGGTCGCGTCCTCGGCGCCGCCAACACCGACTCGGCCCCAGCCTCAACCGCAACCGCAACCCCCTCCGGCCCGCGCGCACCGCTCCCCAAATCCACCTCTCACACAAACTGGGGATCCGGGGAGGGAGGGAGGACAGTCGGGGCTGGGTCCGGCGGTGCGACGGCGACATCTTCATCGACACCGGGCACCGCGGACGCAAGGGCCAACGCTGCGTTGGCGGCGCAGGTGAGTCTTCCCTTTCCCCCTCCCCACTACCACTACCCTTAACCAACCCCCCTGCTTCAAGCGAGATCCCCCGAGATACTTGACTTGAAAGGGAACCGGCTGATGTATAACTGGCGGGGCATAGAGACGCGCCGAGTCGGCGAATCAGTCGGCCAACAAGGGAAAATTGGGGTCGAAGTTGGCGGCCCAGAAGACGCAGACCCAGGCGCAGACGTTGAATGAGGCGAGTCGGGCGGAGGTGGCGGCTCGGGATGCGGATGGGGCGGCTGAGGCGAGGCGGTGGCAATGAGATTTGGTCGGCGGGGCAGGGTTTGTGCTGTACATACTGGGTGGGTGGTGAGGTTGTGGGTTGACATTTCTTGTGGAGTTGGGATACGCTTAGTACTTTCTGTGTTGGAGTGGATTTGTTTCTTGATATGTGCGGGGTGATGTATGGGATTCCGTATAAAAATGGCGCAATGGTGAATACCCTAGCAGGCTACTTTTACTACAATGCAGACACTGTATCTATAATACAAACTCCGAACCCTCGCCACTAAACGACATTGTACCGTCCACCCACCGGCGCCCGGGCGTCGCTGTCCGCCGCCGCGATCGTGCCCTCCTTCAGCAACCGCATCAACTCGCGCATCGCGTTCGTGACCGCCAGCTCGGTCTCGCCCTCCACCAGGATGTATAGCTTGGGGTTCTCGCCAGGTCCAGGCTCTTTGCCTGTCGCGTAGAAGCTGCCCTTCGTGGTGATCGACGTGCCCGTGGATTCCAGGATCTTCGCCACGTTCGTGCGGTTGGTGACGGCCCAGCGAGCTTTCTCTGTAGCAAGGATCAGTATTTGTAGCGGGAAGTAGATAGAGGATGAACTCACGGGGAAAGTCGTTGATTTCCAAGGTGGCATGGAAAGCGCCTGCATCTGGCCCACGGTTGTCGATGGGAACTCCGGATCTCATCACGCCCGCACGGCTCAGACGCGCGTGGATGTCCGCAACAGCCGAGCCCACCTTGTCCAGTGGGTTCTTCGACGTGCTGTTGGGATCCTTCTCGGTCTTGTGCACCGTGATCTTGCCATCCAGATCGATACCCTTGGGAACCCCCGGCATACTGGTCGATGCTGACGCCGTGGCCTGGACGGATGAGATGGCCTTGCTGAACCGGTCTTCGGCTTGTTCGTTCTTCTTCTCGTCCTTCTCCTCTTCCTCCTCCCCTTCTTCGCCGGTCTTGTATGTGCGTCGTTCACGCAGACGCGCAGCATCACGCTCCTGATCCAGTCGTTCCAGACCCTTACCACCAAACCCGGATGCGCTAGCCTTCTCTTTGCCTGCTTTGACTTTCTCCAAAAATGAGTCGACCATCTTTTGCACCGGTTCCGGGATCTTCTGTCCACTCTGCTTGAGCGCTTTCGCGATGTCGACCGAGTACCGTTCCTGGTCCTCCGTCAAGAAGGTGACAGCCGTTCCGGTGTTTCCGGCCCGTCCAGTACGTCCAGCACGGTGAACATAATCTTCGAGATGGTTGGGCGCATCATAGTTGACGACAAGCTTAAGCTGCTTGACATCGAGTCCGCGCGCCGCAACCGAGGTAGCAATCAGAACCGGGAAGATACCAGCCTTGAAATCTTCGATCGTTGAGTCACGATCGATCTGGTCCTTGCCGCCATGGATAGACATGCATGGGTAGCCCTTACGCATGAGCTCGCGGAGGAGCGTATCGGCGGCCTCTTGGCGATCGACGAAGATGAGAGCCCGCGCATCCTCATTCTCTTCGTTCGAGTACAGATTGCCAAGCAATTCCAGCAGGCGTACGAACTTCTGGTCGTCGTTGCGCACCTCGACAATCTGCGTGATCTCGGGTGCGACCACACTCTTACCGCCGACCACAATCTCGATCGGTTTGGTAAGTGTCTTGCGAGCCAGCGCTTCCATGTTCCGCGGGAAGGTGGCGGAGAACAGAACAGTTTGCCGATCAGGTCGAATGTTGGCCATGATCTTCATCACTTGCGGTTCGAATCCCATGTCGAACATACGGTCGGCCTCGTCGAGAACGACGTATGTGACCCTACGCAAATTCGTGACTCGGCCAGCGTTGGCTGCGAGAAGGTCGATCATGCGTCCGGGCGTGCAGACAATTATTTCAGCGCCACGCTTGAGGTCCGCAATCTGGTCCTTGATGGGAGCTCCACCATACGCACAGACAGCCCGAAGGTTGAGGGCTTTGAGGAATGGCTTGCAATCCTTGTGGATCTGTGTTGCCAGCTCGCGGGTAGGCGTCATGATTAGACCGACAGGGCCCTCCATATTCTCCAACGGCCGTTGATCCCTGATGTGCCGGAACATGGGAATCAAGAACGCAATCGTTTTGCCCGAACCTGTCTTCGCCACACCGATGACATCTCGGCCAGACATGATCGCAGGAATGGCCTGCGCTTGGATGGAGGTGGTTTTCTCATACCCAAGCTTTTCAATCACATCCAAAGTTTGCACACCTAAGCCACACTGAGACCACTTCTGCACTGGCTTCGGAACATCCACACCACGAACTTTGATGCCGTCGAGTTCCAGCCGCAGGCTTGCGGCTTCCTCCTCACTCATCTGCGCCAGATCAGAGGGTTCGGTGTAGAACTTTCTCCGGAACGGCTCGTATTCTACTTTGTGGTGATCAACCGCGGGGATGTCCTTCTTCTTCTTTGCCTTGTTGGCAATCGCAAGGAAGTCATCGGCATCTCCTTCGCCAACAGCCGTCACATCGACATCGTGCTCATCACCAAAGATGGCCTCGGGCTGTTGTTCCTTGTCGCGCGAGAACTTCGCGCCACCCGTTCTCTTCGGAGGAGCAGTCTCGGCTAGTTCGGACATGAAAGCATCTAATGGATCGACTTCCTCCTCTTCTTCCTGAGCATCAACTTCCATGCTGTCGGGAGCCTGGTTGTCAGCTGCGTCTTCCATGACAGTATCACCATTAGCTTCCTGCGAGGTGTCCGTGGATTGAGCCAATTGCAAACGCTCCTCTCGTCGTTCGGCCGCTGCCCGCGCAGCTGCCGCATTCTCTTCCTCGGTGCCCCCCTCATGCATGTCGACGTCATCCTCGTCCTCGTCTTCAGCCCCGCCACCTGTGGTTCCGTTGATATCTTTCGAATCCTCTAGAGGCGGTGTGGGTAGCCTCTCGAGCTTCCGTCGCGTTGACTCCTCCTCTCCAAATCCCAAGGTTCGTGTAGCAGTGGACTTCTCGGCCTCCCCAGCCTGCCTGGTTCCTAGCCCAAATCTTCCTACATTACCCTTAACCTTTAAGGTGGCTAGAACGCTCAAGTTAGTCTGGAACTGATACGCATAGATAAGAGGCGGGAACGTACATGAAGAGCTGCTCGTGGCTGGAGCAGGACTGCCAGAGGTCGTGGCGGAGGGCTTTGACGGGAGTGGAACAGCAACATCATTGCCCAACACAGCCGGTGCGGGCGAAGATGTGGATGTTCCCTTCTTTGCGATAGCCTTCGGATCAAACTTTCCTGCATACGTAGCGGATGCCACTTCAACAGCCGGCGTTGCCGGAGATTGAGGCGAACCGACAGCCGGCGATAGACCAGACTTTCTATCGATCTCCTCTAGAATGCTTCTAGCTCCTCCAGCCGCCGCAGCTTCCCGCTGTTTGCGCTCCTTTTCCGCGGCTTGTTTCTGTTTCCATGCCTCCAGTTTCGCGCGCCGTTCCGCCCTTTTCTCGTCTTCTGTTTGGGCGGCGGGTGTTGCTGGAGTCGACGGTTTCGATGCCTACGATGAGCATGTCAGCCTTGATTCATAAGATAGTAAAGGACCGGGCTAGCTTACATCACGAGACCTGGACCGCGAGCGTCTGGCCCGATCCCGGCTGTCGTCCCGTCTAGACTTGTGCTTCAAGTCAGCAGAATCATCTGTCCGTCTCCGTGCCCGATCCCGGGAATCTTCTCGCCTGCTTCGATAGTCCCTATCGCGGCTTCTTCGGCGGTAATCCCGCTGATCGTCTCGGTCTCTGGATCGGCGCCGATCGCGAGAGCGATCCCGACGGCTGGGGCGATAACTGTCTTCATCGCGGTAGTCGTCACGTCTGTCTACGGAGCGGTCGCGCCTCCGGTAGGAGTCTCGGTCGCGATCGCGTTCACGGTCACGATATCGTCGCTAAGTCGGCGGTGAACAGATTAGACATAAGTTCCAATTTAAAAGGCGAACTGGGGCACAAGGGCCTACCTCTGGACTGCGTGAGCGGCGGTAACTCCTGCCATCGTCGCGCCTGCTCCTCTCATAGCGATCATCGTCTCTGCGACTCCGTCTGGATGAGGAGTATGTGCTGCCTACAGGTGATGGTGAGCGAGTATCCCCGTGGCGAGCCATTGTTGCAGGCCAACGATGAGTGAGTATTACTGAGACTCAAGAAAGCTCGAGCACTTGGATTTGGATAGGATAGTGAAGTGGATGTTTACCCTTCCATTCAGGTCTTTTCCAAGTTATACCGGGTGATTAGTATGCCGATAGTTGGCGCGGGGTGGCAAGTCTCAGTCGGAGAAGGCTGAGGTAGATGTTGTATCTCCGTTGGGTTGTATTCTTGGCCCGGCATTAATTGGGAGACTCGGACGGGCCGCAGTTGAGCAGGGTCGGTCATCACGTGACTATTAGTAATCGGGCGGCGACCGACTGACCAGTCACGTGTGATAGCCCAGCTCTTCTCGATAGGATTATGACCTAACTAAGTATGGATGCAATGGATATTAAGGGCGGGCGGGCAGCTACGCTACGCGTGCCTTGCAGTTTCCACCCGTGACCTGACCTTCCCAACCTCTTCCGGTTCCGTCACTGAGCTCCGGTCTGTACCCCTGCGAAGGAGAAAACAGAACCAGATTCACCTTCATACAGAAGGAGAACTGATCCACGCGACTCACTTGGTAGGTATCTCTCCCTCTGTCGGTCTCCTATCCGAATTTAATCCCAAGCTTCCACTCCGATCAATGTTCCCATGTTTACGTTGACCCTTCCAGCGTTAGTTCCGAGACCATGCCCGCGAAACTCGTTCGCCAGGGAGGCGTGTTCCTCCAGCATCTCAACATCAGCGATGCTTTCTCACGCCCCGTCCGTCAAATGATCTCTCACGCTCATGTCCAACGTCTTTCGATGTTGTCCCGTGGTCGTTTCATTGGTCCAATTGCGGCACGCGCCCCTGTTCTGTCCCGAGGCTTGACGAACACATACGCGACTGCAGCTGAAGCCAAGTCTTCAGAGCCCAAGGCGGCCAAATCGATCCCCAAGGTCCGAAAGGTGCAGGCAACCGAGTCCAAGGAGACCGCCAAAGTGAAGAAGCCGAAGGCGCAGACGGGAAAGACGAAGGTCACGAAGAAGGCCGCGAAGAAGGCCACGAAGAAGGAGCGGAA